TATATATACTGAGTGTCTGTGATACATGTCATAGTTCAAAGTGCTTGCTACTCCGTTTACTAAAAGTTAATTACAACAGATATAATGCAATATGACGTAAATTGTAATGATAATGAATTTATTTATTCTGCGTAAAAAATTATGTCTATATCATATAATGCAACCATAACAAGTACGAAAAATTAAATTGTTCTTATACAGAAATATCAATTACCATAATGTGAATCACTGTGTGTTTTGTTGGTTTGGCCTACATCATAAAGAATTATGCCTATTGTTAGTATACATATTAATATAATGATAATAACTTTATTTAATCAACTCAATCAAATCAAAATTTAAAACTTAATTTAAAAATTACTTAAACTAAAGAATATTCATAATGTTAGTATAAAGTCTTTATTGTTGCAATTGTAATCGTCATCATATTTTGAATATTGATATTGATGTTTTTTCAATTGAATATTTTTGTTGTCTCTTTAAATTGTAATACAAACCATTTCAGCCTTGGCTGCTGTTTGTAATATGTGTTTTTTTATACCAAATAAATAATAAATAATAAATGAGTATATACTGTATTCATAATATCAATAAGTGGTACAAGTACTTGGAGAAACGTATTCTTTATCACTAAATTAAAATAATATTTAAAAACATGTAATCCCTTAAAATTTCAGTCGGCAGCAGAATTCATGCATACTAAAATTAAAATCAATGAAATGACACAAACAACAAAACTCAATTTAAAAACAAATACTTACTACTACAATATCACGAAGAATAAAGAAATGTCAGCCGTGTTAACTTATTTTGATCTGATGTATACGATAAAAACCAATCCAGTCATAGAAATCACAAAATTTGTGAATATCTATGTTAGTATGATTAACAATAAAGGTTTATATAAATGCTTAAAATCACACACTAATTATGTACATCGAAAGATATGGTACCACCCTCAGGGCATAAGATTGGTTATGCTCCTCACTTCGGTAGATATTCTAAATGTCGCCATCGGAGTGCTCTCGCATGTTCATGATAGTCAGGGGATGAATAATGAATATTAATCTACTTGTTAGTTTCATTTCTGCTAATGTAGGCGAACAACGAAAGCTTCCCAGTAATCACTCAATTTGTGAATATCAATATGTTAAAATTATTAAAAACATGATTAAAAACAAAGCTGAAACAAATGCTTTAAAATTACACATTAATTACAATCATTTAAAAAAGATATGGTACTGCCCCCTAGGAATGAAATTGATTTAATGGTTTACTCATGCGCTTCATTTCCGGCAGGTATAAAAGTCTGCATCGGTAGTGCAGTCGTATGATCATCATAGTCAGGGGCTGGATAAAGGTCAAGGTTATATCGGTTTGCTGGATCCTCATCATCGTATCCTTCGTTATCTTCAGGTAAATATGCAATATACGTTGGAGGCTTAATCTCTTTTGCGAACTCTATGTTGTATCGGTAAGATTCCCCATCATCATCCTCATCTAATTTAGTCTCCTCTTCTTCGTAGGTCAGCTTTACACCCCGAGTTGCATACTGAGTATTGCTTCCATCTGTATGTTTTTCTTCCTTAGCAAGCCTACGTTTTTTACAGCAGCATATGACAATAATACATATCAATATAAATGTTAAGCAAATTATTAGAATCCACAGCCACCATAGGTTGCTTTGTTCGACAGGAATACATAATATAGAAAAGCCGTTTTCACAGAAAGTTTCACTAGGAAGGTTCAGTGTCCGTTGACAGTAGAAGGCAAACATGGTTGCTGAGACATTTGCATGGTCAAGTCTGTTTGAGACGGCAACATCTGAAATACAGGCTTCGAAGAAGAATTGCCTTGTACTGTATAAGTTGTTACATTCATCAAGCAGTATTCCGGTGTAAAATAGTGTGTGACAAGTTGACATTGCAATGTCTTCAAATGTTTCGTTTATGAATTGATGAATTTGATCACGTTGGACTGAGATAGGTGCGTCTGATGGTACCCACATACTTGGATGTATAATACCACCAGTAATGTCAGCAGCTTGCATCGGTAGTTGCATTGAGGTTGTGTTTCCAAAGCCTTCGCTAAATGGAATGTTGAAAAGAAGCCCGACATCGCTTGACTGTGTCTGATTATTTCTATGTTTTGTTATATCTGAGTCGGTCTTACAGTAACTCCAGAGAGAGATGCTGTCAATTATTCCGGTGAACTGGAATGATTTGGCTTCTGACGCCTTTCCAATTAGAACTTTAGGTCCAAGATTCACTGTTTTACCAGTAAAAACGTTGAATGATGTGAACATATTGTTGTAGTTTGGCCTGTGACAAGATACAGCCACTCTTCCATCAAAACTTCTCCATGACAGAGCAATGTAAGTCCAGTTTCCATTATCAATGACTAAATCAGTTCTAATTTCTTCACTGCCAATTGTGACAGTAAGTTGTCGTGTAACAATCTGTAACACCAGTTTTGTTTCTGTTGTAAACTCCAAGATTGTCTGTGTTTCGGATGATATGTATTGTGTAATGAACCAAATTTCGAGTGTAAATTCATTTAGCTCCCAGTTGTCAGCAGAATTGAATGATAAATGTTCTTCATTGAAATGCAAAGCGTAGCCAGGAGATAAAAATTTGATGTCTGCAAATTTACTTTGGAGATTATTTCTGTTATCATGAGGAATCTGTAGCATCTTTAGTATAGTCGTATCCATGTAGTTCTGCGAAAGCACCTCGTTAATGAAGACCGTATCGTTTATGACATCATATTTCAAATCATTGAACGGGTTTCGATCAAACGAACCAATTAATCCACTGCTCCCTGGTGGGCCATCGTTATACGGAAGCTCAAAGACACACGACATAATATCAGACTGAAGCACAACTAACATGCTGAATGTTTCTGCAATTGTTATATTTATGAAATCGCGGTCATACCAAATTAGATTGATCTCTCCAATTTGTCGATCGGATTCCTCATTCATTGGTTGCCACTCTTTACCACTGTTCTCATGAATTATCAGTTGTGACGAAGACCCCAGCTCAACACTGACTGAGAGTCCATAAACTCCATTGATAATAAGCACTTCCGTGATCATAAGACAGTTCACATTTGAGTTGCACTGTTGAAATATTGCTTGAATAAATACCTGTTCAGATACAAATATGCTTGTAACTCCAGGAACACCAATGTGCACACTTGCGCCATCAACGGTAGTCATATGCAATTCACCATAAATGATGGCGATTCCGAATGATGGATATGCATCATCGATGTAACTCACTGTGCAATCTGTTGCCATCCATCCATTGGTACATACGTCACAGGTGTTATTAGCATTTGTTTGGCTGTCTAATCCAAGCCAATGGGAATCACACATACATTCTCCTGTTGTAACATTACACGTTCCATGTCCAGAACATGGAGATAAAGTACCTCCAGGACATGGGTAACTACATGCAATTCCCCAGTATCCGAACTCACACACACAGTTGTTGATATCTTCAGGATCCTCTGTTCCAAAAATACACGGTATTGTACATTGTGTGCCAATCCAATCTGGAAAATGTCTTCCAGGAAAGTCGTTACATAGATGTCTTGCAGGCGAGATAGTAACCTCAAGTATCTCTTTCACACATAGTTCTGCAAAGGCAACAGTGGCTTCGATTGCAGCGCTAAGGTCAAGATGGTAAGATATATCACGAATACACTGCAGATAATAAGCATCGATCGTCGCTTGCCCAAAATAATCCACATAATTCACAGCAAAACCTGTTAAGAATATATTGCTACATTTGACGACAGCAGCGTTCTCTAGTGTCTGATTAAAAAATGTCGGATATCCAAGCAGTGGTTGACGTTGTATAGGAAGATCATTGTCAGCAATTCTCCACAATGGAGCATTCCATTGCGGAAGATGGAATGGCGAGTCGCTAACCAAATCATTTAAACCACCAACTCCACTGTCGAATTTCCAGACATAAGCAAGCTCTTGTGTGTCCCCCATTGCATTGATGTTCCAGTTTGATATCACTATTGACGGATTTGACCTTCGATTCCAAATCCTGATTTCATCTAATTCACCGATAAATGGTTGTGGCGGGAGTAGAGGTACTTCATTCGGATATACACTATGCCATTGACCAAGAGAAAGATATCCATTTGTTTCGAAAGAATTTATTGGTAGGGAAATAGCTTTAACTCGACCCAATCCATTTTGGTCAAAAATGTACACTTCCAAGATCTGTGTTTGTTGATTCCAAACAATCGATATTTGGTTCCAAACCAGAATTTCTAATGAAATTCCTGTTTCAAATATTTGTGTTCCAACACATATAGTGACACCGCGTTTCAGGTTTACAACAGCGATCACGTGATGAATAGTTGCGTATGAGAGAATCACGCCACCATATTGGTGGGCCCTTACAAACGTTTCTAATGTAAAATACTTAACTGGCAAGGCGATTACATCTGCTGAAGTAATGGTAAAATCATTGAAGTATAAACACATTCCAGCACCTTGAATTGGAAGCAGAGAATTATGATATTCGGTAGAGGTATTAATATTTATGTTGACGAGGAATCTGGATGCATATTGATCGATTGAAGTTTGGCTAATATTCTTCTGACAGTCTTCAGTACCAGTATTGACTACTATTGTATTATTATCATGGCAATTTGCATGTTCTATATTGCCGATGGTATCACATGACGACAAGAGTCCATTGTTGTGATTAGAATTGCAAATATCTGACGTAGTCACAAACATAATATCCAGACGACCATGAAAGACACTTATTTGTATATCGAATGGCATAGACGAGCTTCGTATTTTGTATGTTATAAGATTTACACGAATGATGTATAAATCCTCATTAATGATGGTTTTATGATCAAGACTAACCATTTCATTGTCTAGCCAAAAATATGGCCGAAAGGCTGACAGCTCACTGATCGAAGCACGAACTATAATTTGACTTCCGTAAGAGTATATAATCACTGCATCACAGCTGGAGCCAAAATTATGCCCATTTGTAGCAATTGCTGAACGAAAATAGATTGATGTTTGTCCAAAGCTATACAGGTTATATACGCCATAGATTCGCAAATAGAAAGAAACACCATCGAATGTTGTGATTTGATGCCCCCCTGTAATATACGCTACGTATCTATTGTTAACATGCAGAACACGATTGGTATATAAGAAGATGGTACAATCATCACCAAGCCAATTCGTCGCACAGTCCGAGCAGTTGAAGTCAAGATTCCAGTTGATATTGCAGACACATTTACCCATGGAGTTGCAGACTCCGTTGCTATAGCACGGGGTAGCAGCGCCCCCCGGGCAAACATAATCACAGTCAGAGCCCCAGTAGCCACTTGAACATTCACATGTATCTTCTGAAATGACATCGCCAAATACACACGTGTCACAGGTGTCCTGAATCCAACCTGGAAGATCATGGATGTCAAACACAGAGCAAAGTGAACTGGCTCCAAGATAATTACTTCCATCATGAGGGCTACAGTAGCGTGCAGACACGGCGTGTAGCAGGCCGTATGCAAAATTCAGCGATTCAGTCTTAGCTACAACATTAATACAACTCATGTAGTAAAATTCAATCATTTCCCGGCTGAGATTTGAACATATTTCATTTAAGCGAATACATATTTGTGCAGCTTGGTAATTAAGGGTATCGTTTTCAAAACTTCCTCCAAATGGTTCCGAGTTTACGGTCGGAATATCGATGTCAGAAAAGACCCACAGAGGTGGATTCCAAATATCAGTAGGTAGAATAAGGTCATTTCCATTTGTAAGGTCAGTGACTATACGTCCAGTTCCAGTATCAAACTTCACCAACGCTAAAAGGTTGTTTGAGTACAGCGTTGCATCTACATTTATCTCTGCTGTCTGTTTTATAAATGCAGGGTAGAAACTTGTGTTCCAAATACGGAACTCTTCGATTTCACCATGAAATGATGAATTCAACACAGTAAATTTACTATCTGTAGTAATAACCCATTGGCCAAATGATAGGACGCCATGTTGTTCAAACATCACTGGTTCTAGCAGGAGTATTTGTATGCTACTAAAGCTTGTAGATACACTGTGGTAAAACTGCAAGATATTATTTTGATTTGTTATAACACAGGCTACGCGATTCCAATCGCCAACTGTGAGTGATATTCCAGTGTCATAAGTATGCAAACCAGTAATGATCCGTATTGTTCCATCAATCATTATAGTAAACTGAGTTGTTAATCCATACGATAATATGACCCCATGGGTATCCAATGGCTTTATACGAAACTCTATAGTTAGATCTGTGTCATTGTTTTCTGAGGCAAATGTAAATGTGAATGGTTGAGACGTAACTGCGTTACTGTTGAAATAGAGAGAGTAGATTCCTCCGGTCGGCACAATGCTTTCTTTGTAAACACTGTGTTCATGGATAAAAAGACTGTAGGTTACCTGCCACTTTGAGACAAGGTACGAGATCAGATTTGATTGGCTGGCATTTTGAGCACCGGTGCTATTGTATGCAATGAGCCCACCGGCTGCCATTGTAAAATTTGTTGGAACACTGGTTGACACTTGGAGATATTGGTCAATAATCTGAATGAAAACGTTGACGTTTAAATGCAATGGGCTACTAACAACATACAGAGTTGGAGATACGACTTGCAATATCCAGTTTGTATGACTAATATACAGGAATGTGGTTTGTAATATGAGTTCCTCTCCGTTTATCCACATTATAACGCCCCCTCCGATCTGGTATGGAGCATGGAAGGTGAACGTTGTGTCTCCATCAAGTAAAAACGCTATGGAGTTGATGCAAATGGCATCATAATAGCATGGGACTTGCCGTATCTGTATATCACAAATTTCAGGATGATGAAATAGATAATATTCTCCATAAGCATGAAAGAAATAGCTGACCCCTGTAAATGTAGTGTAATAGCCATGCAAGGTTGTAAGTGACACATATGTTTCTTGGCTTATGTAGGTAGTTTTACTGATGGATATCGTACAGTCTTCACCAAACCAGCCATCAGAACACTGTGAGCAATCATGTGTACCATTCCAGTTGAACTCACACAAGCATACTCCGATAACATCACATACGCCGTGGCTTGAGCATGGATTTTCTGAGCCACCAGGACAAATGTTTTCACACGACTCACCAAAATATCCATGAAAACATACACATGTACCATTCGTAGTTTCTAAGCCGAAAATACAGGTATTCTTACACTGTGAACCACGACGCAATTCAGTTGTATTTGAACAGAGTGGATGGGCAGGCCAAACATTTAAGTTTAGAGTTAACTGGCAAATATCGGAATAAGCAAATGCTATCTTAAAAGCCTGATGTATATCGTTTGTAACTGCAACTTCTCGAAGACAAATGGTATAGTACATGTTTGTTATTGCAATGCCAAGGCCAAAACAATGGTCTGCAATTGGTGTTGCCATTAGGAGGTCATGGCATACGCTTTCTGCTTTCACTTTGATGGTTCCGTTTAAAAATGTTGGTGTCAAACTAGGAAATAAGTCTTCAGGAGATCGAGGAGCATCAGATAACACCCACACTGCTGGAACCCAGGGTTCAAATGGCATTAAGAGGGTGTCACCATTGATGTCGTCATATGCGTGTGTTCCTTCACCCTCGTCAAACCGCCAGGAGCGCACTAGTCCCGTGCTGTCTAATGAGACATGCTTTGTCCAGAATTCTGATATTTCCGACGGATTAAAAACCTTATTCCACACACGGAAATCATCTATATCACCCGTGAATGCCGGTAGTGGCATTTGATTAAGACTTGATATTGTAGGCTGCCACTGACCAATGGCAAAGTAACCAGGTGTTCTAAAGAGTCCTTCGGGTGTCACAAACTCTCGACGCTTGACGGAACCTGATGAAAATATTATATACACGTTAAGTTTGCCTTTGTTTGAATACACAAGCATGATCTTATTCCACAAATGCACCTCTAGGGATATTTCAGTGTCATAAATAATGCTGCCAATGTGTACTTTTACTGTTTCCCGCACGTTAAGGACAAAGCTGTTCTCATTAACATATGACATCACAACTCCCCCATCGTTCTTTGGATCTCCACACCTCAATAAAAGCTCGAATGTGATATCGTTACTGTTTTTGATAAACAAAATAGTACTTTGAATGTACAATATTGACCCTTTAAAATGTACATTGTAGCCAGCGTAGCTCTTCTTTATTACGTATCTAGTTGAAGTGCTTATTATACTGTCACATGGGTCAACGACCCAATGACCAAGATAGTGCGAAATATTTTCTGCAGATGGAGTAATCCAATTTTTTTCTGAGACTGAACAGTCATTCTTTGTGGATGTGTTATCAAAATTGAATTTATAGTCCATGCTTGAATTGATTGGAGCTGGCATTTGTTTAGATACTGAACTTGAACAAATTCCAATTTTTGAGTTTTCGTCTGGATCCAGCCACAGATTAGGATTGTTTTCATCATCATTATTGCAACATCCGCCAAAGAGCAAACCAGACGATATCTCGCAAAACCAGCTAGGTATTCTGGTATCGATTGTCAGGTATTTACCATCTGTTCTTACAATGAGGGAGAAATCATTAGGTCCTGTGACAAGAAGCTCATTGTACGACAACCGATGGAAAGTATACCCCGACTCTCCAAACGCTAACAGTGCGTCAATCGACTGGCGATAACCATTGACGATAGTTGACATTACCCCATTGCGATTGATTGGTCCACCAATAACAACAGATCCAAATCCTTGGCTGGGACTTCCAAAACGAATACCAATGTCTTTTATGCAGGAATATTGACCATAGCAACGAACAAAATAAGCTTGAATTACTAGATCTACATTAATGGTTCTAATCAGCGTGTATTCTCCTACATGATAATGTGTGAAAGTATGACCCGCAAACGTTGTTATCTGAGAGAAACTCCCAATTATAGATATTTTTAACAAGTGCTCAGGTAGATATGTTGTATTGAAGACTGTGACACAATCATCACCTGACCAGCCATCTGAACAGCTACCACAATCTATCAGTGATCCTTGCCAGTTCAATGGACAACTGCACTGACCTGTGTTGATGTCACACGCTCCTTGTCCATTGCACGGATTAAATGCACCTCCTGGGCATATCTGATCACAAAATTGTCCCCAGTATCCGGTGTTACATACGCATGTGTTGTGATTGTCAGGACTAGCAGTGCCAAATGCACAAAATATATCGCAATTGTCTCCAATCCACATTGGAAACGGTGTTCCTGTGAAATTATTGCAAAGTGGTTGGGCTGGCCATTGAGTCAGATTCAGCACAAATTGACAGTAATTTGAGTATTCTATCACGATATCAAGGGCTGATCCACGGCTGTTACTATTCGTTGTGATGGAAACACACTCTTTGTAGAATTCTCCTATCAATATGTCACCAAGCTGACTGCATTGTCTAGGAGGAAAAATAGTAGCAAGAACAAAATAAAAAGAACATAAATATTATAAAGTTATGCAATCGATCATTTCAAACAATCAGATGACATGGCACATATGGTATAAAATGGTAATCACTGTGGTTAATCATTTAGACCATTGAAAATACATGCGAGCCTACCTGTACAGAGGTCCACTGAGGCAAATATCTGAACAGAACTCCTCTTGCCAAGATGAGGCCGTATTTACTGTAGTAATGCTTACTTCAGTTGTGGCAGATCGTGCAATGGATGCGTTCGATCTACGCCATATTGACGGATGCCCACCAATGGAAAGATGAAAGTGTTGAGAATAGACAATAACAGAATCATGGGCTATGTCTCCTGTAAAATTAGAAAAGCTAACTTTAGTTTCTTTATTTAATTATATAATATTAATAGCCACAATAATAATTTAATATATATAAAGAGCACAATTTTATGACCTAGGCAGCCTAGTTGGAATTGAGAAATAATCATGAAGTACAGGGTTGGGAAGCGTAGGAAGATATTTGTGAGGATGTCCTTTTGGATAAACCTAAGAGGTGTTTACCTTCTCCTTCATTAAATTTCCACAGATGTACTAAACCACTAGCTGACAAACGTGTATCTGCGCCCCAATGCTCCCGTATTTCAAAGTTGTCGACATATCTGAGAACATTTTAAAATAATAATGTCAAGAAGTTATTCCAGAACATATGAGTATTATAATCTCTTGCAAGTAAAATGCTGTAATTCTGGACCATAGACAAGCGTAAATAAACATGTATATGATTGTACTACGCGACAAAACCGATTTATGCGTGGATACCGCTTCTCAATGGACAAGCAATATTTAAAAAGAACTCTGAATACATATTATACTCCTCACGTGGATTTTATTTATGGTGTATTATGCCAAGCAAAATTATTATATTATACACCATGTGACTATCTTTTATAAATACGAAAAACCTATTGTGCTCTACATTAAGTAAGTCTCATTTTAAAGCTTAGTGAGTGGTACAATTTATAGTCAGGGGCCGATCTACAATTTTTCAAAGAGGGGATATAACAGTTTTAGAATAGGTGAGTAGCACAAAACATTGATTGGCATTGAAATTTTAAATTTAGTGGCAAAAGGGAGGGGGGCATGCCCCCGTGCCCCTACTGGATCTGCCCCTGGTAGTTGTTTTGGAAGGCAAGCATCTTACCATTAAGGTAGGTACATCCATTTCGATTACAGATATAATAATGTAATGTGATAGACAAAAGCCAAACCACTGGAAAAAGATATGCCTCCGCCACTGAGAAGGAATGTGCCTTAGTTTGCGGCAGTGTTGAGTTTCGTCCTACCCAACTTAAACACCAATACAACAAGATAAAGTACATCTTCATTTAAATCAAACTATGATCCTCACAGGCCTTAATTACTTCACGGTATTTATTTGAATTTTATTAGGTTTAGAAGACAGCTTACAGAGGACCAGCAAGAAGTGAAATGAGAGGAGTAAATCTTAAAACTACTGTACATAAAAAAGATCACTTAATTGATATTACTTTTAAACTAGTCATGTTACTGTAACTACTATAAAAGGTTAACAACATAAATAAAGTAAAGACGCACCTATCCCATATTCGTATTTCATCAAATTCACCAAAGAACTTATCTTTTGGCTGAAATCCAAGTCCATCTGTGGGTGGTTGCCACTTTCCAATACAGAAACTTCCTCCAGGAGAAAATATGTCGCGTTCAAAATCCGTGTAAAATCTTCTTTGAAATTGACCATTAGAATCGAAAAGATACACCTCAAGAGTCCATGTTATCCGATTCCAAACAAAAGACAGTTGGTTCCAAACATCCACTTCAAGATATAAACCTGTTGTGATATTTCTGTTTCCATAATGAATTGTTATTTGTCCAAATTCATTGGAGATAAAGAAGGTTGTTACATCTGTGAATGAGAATATTGTACCTCTGCTACTATATTTCACCAACAATTCAAGCGTAGTATAAGAAGATTGTGGAATATAAATATTATCGACAGTTATTGATGCTTCGCTGATCAGGACAGAGTACCCAGCATAGGTCTCTTGATATACGTATGGTATCTCATCACCGTTAAAGATTATATCTGATTTTGTAACTTTAGTGTGTCTGCACTTTAAGTTGATTGTATCCACAGAATCATCAGGCTCAATAATAACCACACCTGGAGGAATCGAAGGTTGATGTTCGTTGTCTTTACACCGTGTACATAAACCACAGATTCCCTGTTTTACATTTTTACAACATGTGCTATCTGGTATCTCCATGTCCAAAATGAGGTAGTTAGTCATTACTGATACATGAATGTTTAAATCGACGTCTCTTACAGTCACTTGATATTGGCTAGTGCTATGCTGCTGAATGGAAATCGTATCGGTTGTTTTCAAGGTACCATTTATGAAAACTCTTTTGCCGTTAACATGAACTATTGAAGTATACATTCCACTCTGGCGGACTGTTACTGATGTCTCACCAGCTTCAACAGCTATTGCATCCAAGCAAATCAAGCTATTGCAGACAACCTGACTTATCTGTAAAATAAATTAATGTTAATAGGTAAGTGTTTGTTGGTACAGTATATAAAACCTGTCTCTTATACACATCTAGATGTGTATAAGAGACAGTATATATATATATATATATATACACACACACATACATATATATTTGCAATGTCTCATAGAAATACATACAGTACATACCTGTAATTTGAAAGAATCAACTTCTAGAAGTGTGTAAATTCCAATGTCTTCAAAAGTAAACGATTGATCATTAAAGTTTATGAAGGATCCTGATCGTGCAGAGCAGACAATAACATGATCATCTGGTAATGGCAATACAATTAAATTGCAGTTAGCTCCACTCCAACCAAGTGTACAATTGTAACATTCACTTCCTGTCCAGTTATCAGTACATTTACAGTCACCTGTTGCTACATCACAAATGCCGTGGCCGTGGCATGGCGATAGTGATCCACCATCACAGGAGCCATTGCAACGATCACCCCAATAGCCAAACTCACAGTTGCAAACATTACTATCATAGCTACCAAAATAACACTCTTCATCACAGGTAGGTCCTGACCAAACTGGGATGTCAGTAAAGTTGTTGCAAAGATCCTTTGCTGGCCAATAGCTGAGATTTAAAGCTAACTGACATTCACTGCTGAAATCCATTACTGCTCCAACTGCTGTTGTCACATCACCTGTTACGTTTATAACGTATATGCATGCGTGGTAGTGATATTGTGCCGACGATCTCATGGAAGTACACTTACTTCCTAGTGGCCCATTGTAAATATAAGAGGTGCAAGCTGTGGTAATATAAACATCAGCGAATGTTACTGACAGACTGTATATATAATTCAGTTGTATTCTAAGTGGTGTGTTTGCGACTAACCATATTGGAGGTCTGTAAGATGGGAATGTCAGCTGTATGTTATTGACACCATCCAATATACTTGCTCCTATCCCGTCGTTAAGAGACCAAAATATTACTAGGTTCGATTCATAGCGATTGTATATACGGGAATAACTCAGTTCAATCTCTGCTGTCGAGAATCGGCGGCTCCAGCACGAGAACCCAGTTATATAACCGATGAATCCAGCAGGAGGAGACTTTTTGAAGTCATCAAGTGGCACTTGCCAGGTACCAAAACCTATAGTTCCTCCTGCTGAAAATACATGTCGCCTGATGTTAAAGTAGCGCCAACTTACTATTCCTATTGAATCAGACAGGTATATGTCAATTCTTCCAGTAACACTTTTATACACCAATGATATTAAATTCCATTCATTTGACAATACCGTTATATTAGTTGGGTAAATAAAATCTCCATCATAAATGTACAACATTTTATATTCAAGCGAAATTGAAAACGTTATGCTTTCAGAATAACTGTATATCGTACCACCATCAGATGTTGGTTTAAAGTAGAACTGAATGGTGATATATTCTCCAGACAGTGTTCCATAAGGTACAACAGAGCTAATAAGTCCAGAATTGCTAAAAAACAAGGCATATCCAAAAGGATACATGGAATCATTTGTGCCAATCGCACCATTACTATATGTTCTAATAAAAACACTTCTACTACTTGTCACTCGGAAATCATTACACATGGTTACTAAGAGTTCCTGGCTTAATGGGAATCTTTGTGCGAAAACTGCGATTCCCAGACTTTTCAGAGCACACAAAGGATCCTCATCAGTGGATGTACATGGTTTGTTACGTATGCTACAAGGCCCACATATTCCTGAACTTGTAGCGCAAATGTCCTTAGATACAGTGATGTCCATGTTGATATGTACGCCCAATATATGGAGGTGAACAGCAATACCGGAGATTAAAATGTCGTATCTGCCTTCTGCTTGTCGTGTGATAGTTAATTTTGTATTTCCTGTGCCGTAAGTCAAGCTTGATTCTATCTTAACAGTATCGTTATTAATGATGACTAATGGTGCCATTGGATCTCCAGTCGAAGCAGATATAACTAGCTCGGTGCCAACTGTAATCACACCAATAGCTTCTATGCACGAATCTTGACCACTACATGGAGTCTGGCGAATTTGAATTTCTACTTGTTCGTTCTTGTAGATTATGTAATCACCAGTATCCACAAAAGAGAAGCTGGAACCATCAAAATGTGTGTAATATCCGTTACCGAATATAGAACATCTACTTGATAACGAGTAAGAAACGTCAGTCAAAGCAATTGAACAATCTGTACCAATCCATCCAGAAGAACAGGTGGTGCAATTCATAGCGTTGTCCCAGTTATCAAGGCAAACACATCTCCCATCATCTTGTTGGCATGAGCCCTGAGCACCACATACGTTGTTGAGTCCTCCATGACAGACATTATTACATGTATATCCCCAATACCCTTCGGCACATCTACATATTTCGTTAATTGTGTTTCTAGGATCATCAGCAAAATGACACTCAATATCACATTCCGATCCGCGCCACATTGGGGCGTAGACACCATTAAATCTATTACATAGTATTTGAGATGGTACTTTTCTTGATTCTGTAGAAAGGCAGGCATCTGCTGCCGCAAGAGTCACATCTAAAACGCTATACATGTTTCCTGAAAATGCATAATCAATTATACAGGTGTAGAGATAGTATGATATGGTCCCATCGCTGATATTACAAGCTTCTGAAGATGCTATGAAACGTATATTGTCTTCACACACTTCAGTGATATTGGATTCTGTTTCAGGATCAGGAAACGTATATGAATATAATATTTGGACAATTTCGATATCAATGTAGGAAAATCTCCAAGTCGGGCGATTAGTATTCCAAGTGAAATCTGACATTCTGAAATGAGATGAGCCAATAGCATCAAGTACATCATAACCCTGTCCTTCGTTGCACTTCCATAGCGCTGCTAGCCCATTAAAATACGGTTGGACATTCTTACCAATGATATTATTAATGTCGTGCAAAATGAAAGCCCGTCGCCATATTTTGATTTCATCTATAGAGCCACTGAAGCTTGTGATAGTAGATTCTTCTGGTATTGTTCTCTGTCGGTAGCTTATTGAGCCATTTGTTGATGGCTGTCGTATTCCTATAGCAAAGTATCCACCGTTAATGAATGGGTCAATATTTGTTTTGAATACATGAACACTTTGTAATATATCTTTCTTTGGATCTACCAGATTGAATTCAACCCTACTTCTACTGCGAATCCAGACCAGAATAACTTGATACCATTTACCCGACTCTTCTATTGCAAGGTTGGTATCAAAATCCTCATCACCGATTTCAATAATAAGGGTCTTATCCATATATATTGTTATAGAAGTTTGACAGCCGTAAGAGAAGATGATTCCTGGATTGGAAATATTATCAATATTTATAAGGAAATCCAATGTGATGTCCGACATATCATCAAATGTGTTATCCACGACATTTGATATCAGACTGGAATTACTATCGAAACTGAGACAAAATCCTCCACCAGATACGTTTCTACTTTCATGATAACTGTCTTCATAGTATATACTATCAAATAATGAATCATTTTCCAAAACAACCCAGGGTTTTAAAGCTGTGATGTTACGGTGTGACGTAATTTCATCGCCAATGTCATCGTTACAAGAACCACAAATTCCTTTGGCATGTTGGCAGTAGTGTGAAGCTATTGCCAGAGACACTGATAAATATCTATCGAGCACCCTTATTTGTAAAGATACATTGGTGCCAGCAATTTTGTAATCGTCTGGAGAAATGTGCTCTAATTCAAAATTTGAGAATCGTGCCGTTTTGTCGAAATTAACTGGGCTGCTATTATTCCAGAGTAGCAAACGACTTCCCGTACTATATCCTGCACGTGCGATAATGGTGTCTTCATTAGATGATGAAATGCCAATTGCAACAATACATGCAGATGTATTGTAACATGGAAGAACACGAATATGAATAGCAATTTCATCGGGAGACACAAAAAGGTAATGTTCTCCAATTTCTTTAAAGTCAAAACGTCCGCCGTCAAAATTAGTAACATGTCCCTGACCAAACAAATTACAAACTGGGTTTTGAGGTTCCTCCAGGTCCGGTCTGTTCTCTATAGCCTCGCAATTAGTACCAGACCACCCTTCGTCACATTCAACACAGTCTGTGGCAGATGACCATCGTAATTCACATTCACATTCACCAGATTGTTTATTACAGAATCCGTGACCGTTGCAGGTGTTATCTGGTGCCAGTGGACAGATATTGTCACAATGGATTCCCCAATGATCATTATCACAAATGCAGTTACCAAACTCGTCGTGGAAGCCGAAGATGCATTTTGTTTCATCACATCCTAGTTTTAAGGCAAATTCAATATCCTTGATATCTCTACAGTTCAACTGAATTTGTCTTTGAAGGTTAGCCTCACAATATGATCGGTAGGCCCTTACAGCAAATGATAAGTATGACAGAGATCCCCCATATGCGATATCAACAATACACATTTCATAGTAAAACAGTGGTGTTGAATTTCCCATTGACTCGCATTGACTACGAATCTGCCCATGAAGAATCCAGTCCTGACAGGCTGTTTCTGCTTCTAACCTGGATGGATCAGACGTTAATTTTGAATATACTTGCAGTACTATAGAGCTCGAAGTTACTGACTTGAGTGAATTAGATAATAAGGGAGCATCTCCAAGCCACCAAACTGGACCACCCAATTGAGGAAACACCATTGCGTAATTGTTGATGGTATCATAACTTTCATATCCAAATCCATTTGAGAATTTCCACAGACCACTTAAATCATCTATGCCCTTTAAAAGAAAAACATACTCAATCAGATCACAACATTCAAAGCAATTAACAAATTAACAAAACAAAATGGAAGGAGATAAAATAAAAAATAATAAAATATTTTGCATCAATATTCTAAAGCACAGTGCATCAGTAACTAGTTCAAATAGTTAAAATTGCAAGTTTATATTATTTGTCTTCATTATACATGAACAGTTTTAATAATGATAAAACCAAGAGAATAAACGAATTAAATGTATTTAAAGTAAATACTTACATTAGCGATATTCAATTTGTAAGTTTGCCAAATTGTAAACACGTCTAAGTTTCGTTTCCATATTCGAAGCTCATCGATATGACCTACAAATCTTGTAGACGGAGGTTGTTCATGCTCCGGATATCTTCCAGATTGCCAGAGACCAAGTCCAATTTTTCCACCGGGCAAGAACAGTCCATCTACCAAAGTATACGAATACCCACTCATTCTGTCTTGGTGATCAATGATGTAAAGGGAAAAATAATTTGATGCTCTTGAATATGTGAAAGCAATGTAACACCACTTGTCAGTCTTTGTCTTGATGTTAGTTTCGATCACTTGACTACCAAAATGTATTTTTATATGCTTGTCATTGGTTATTGCAAAGATGTCAGTGTCTAGTATGTTGGTTTCCAAACTGACGTAGGAAAACAAAGTTCCACCAAATAGCTTAGGGTCTTTGCCCTTTACGTACATCTCAATTGTAACATCAGATTCTGCATTGAACGTTTCCTCTAAAGTTTCTGAGATGCAGCCAGAGTCATTGAACAAGAGGTTATAGCCTGCAGTGGTAAAATGTTGATCTTCACCATGAATACCAATATGGTATATAAATTTTGTGCCGACGTTAGAAGGAATCCTACACATATCGGAAAATGGACCATTTAGAAGTGCAAATGTTAAATTGTCAACGGTCACAAAGTTATCTGCTGCTATAGGAAAATCATTGCTGTTGTCTGCGTCGCAACTTCCACACAATGATAATGAAACATTGGAACAAAATGATTTTGGGACAACCACCTGCATGCTAATAAATTGACCATCGATTTCAATACTGATGTTTCCTTGAGATGAATGACTCAAAACATACTGATCATTTGATATTCTCTGTAGAAGGTAATCGTTTCCTATATTAAGACTTTCTTCGCTCATAAATGAAACACCATTGACAAGAATAAGATTTTCTGTATCTTCAGTGAAAGAAGAACGAACCTGAATGTCTGTTGTACCAATGTTTATCCAAACTGATTTGATACAATGGCTATCGCTTCCGCAAGGAACTTCACGGACATACACTGTCATCCCACTGCCTGCTGTAAAAATGAATTCTCCGTCTGAATTTAAGTCATACGCTATACCATCAAAGTTTATGTAATGTGAATAGCTTGAAACTGAACAAACAGAAAATGAAGCATCAAATGGTAAGTCAGCTACAGCAACGGAACACTCGGCACCGTACCATCCATACGCGCAAGCAACGCAAGCTGTTCCCAAGTCGTAATATACTGGACAATCACACACTCCCTCAATTGAATCGCAAACACCATTGTCTCCACAAGGTTTTGCTGATCCACCAGGGCACTGATATTGGCAACTTTCTCCCCAGTATCCTTGTAAACAAATACATGTATCGTAATCCTGTGTTATCTCTCTTGATACACACTTGGTATTGCATGTTTCCCCAATCCAGTTTGGGAATGGCCTGCCAGGGAATGTGAGACAGTGTTCTTGTAAGGGTGAAGTTACAAGTTGTTTTAATGACATACAATGGTCACTATATGCCAGAAATATCTCCATTGTATATAACTGCGAAGCTGCGAAAGTGCCATCTCTTACACAGTGTAGAAAATAGAAATCAGTTAGATCGAAGCTGGAACATATATCGTATAATTCTGAAGAGTACAATATTTCATAACAGAAACCTTCGAGCAGTTCTTCAATTGATGTATTGTATACTTGGAGAGAATATAAAGCCGAGGTGTTGTAACTTTCTCGCTGTACAACTGCAGACGAGTATACCCACTGTGGGCTGGACCATAGAGAATTCTGTTCAAATGTCAAATGGCCAGTTGACACGCTATCAAATACATTTGTTCCTTGGCCTTCATTAAAATTCCACTGGCTCGCCAGATCCATGTTTGACGGAGAAATGTAACGGTGCAGGTGTGATTGTAATTCTGAAGGAAAGAATCGTCGATTCCATATTCTGAATTCATCAAGTGTACCAGTAAATCCCTTGTAAGGTCTTTCACCAATATTTGTTGGGAGAGGGTTCCATTGTCCAAGCACAAAAACACCGCCCGGGGCATATATGTTATTTGTCGATGTGAATAGTTCTGAATTGTATTTTCCTGAGGAATCAAACAGATACATCCGAAGCAAAAGTGTTGATTTCTCCCACACTAGAGATACTTGGTACCACTTATCAACAGTCATTCCAAAATCAGTAAATACAGTGTTAACATCGTCATCTAGAATGAAATAACCATCGCAATAAACTAAAGCAAAAGTTGTCTTTTTTGTATACGATAAGATAACTCCACAGCCTCTGTGATCCTTTCCTATCTTTATCAGAAATTCAACAGTAATGTCTGAGTCTGTAAAAGTGTGAATCCGATCTGAAACGACGCTGGTGTCATCAAAGAAAAGTGCATAGCCTGCTTGAGAATTCTGAATATCACGAACCTCACCCACTGTTTTGTCTTCATATACAAACAAAGTCGTTGTGTCCAAACCTATTTTCCATGATGATCCAAATGTACTGTGGATATTTTTCTGGTTTATTTCGGTGTCATTGATCAAGATCCCTTCTCTGCTTACAAATTCATTGAGTTGGTTATTATCGCAAGTTCCAAGGAGTCCAACAGCGTTTTTACATTCAGTGTATTTAAATTTAACCCGCAGATCCAGATATCTTCCTTGTATAACAACACTTATTGCAAATAGGTTATTTCTTATTTCATAGTGGTTGAATGAGACTCTTACAAGAGATATACCGGATCCTAATTCTACATTAGGCCCGACCTCGATTTCGATTCCATTATGCCAAATGAAACCAGAAAACATATCATCATTACGATCACCATGGATAACAATGCTATTTTCATTTAACTGAAATGCTGCAGCATTAATACAAGTTGTCTTCGATGTCACAAAACAAGGAACCAAGCGTATGTGAGCAAGGACATTATTGGTATGAACCAGTTGATGTTCTCCAGTTCCATAGAAAATGTAGTTTGCTCCATCAAAAGTTGTAAAGTGGCCCTGTCCAAATGCCATTCCATAATACATTTCGTCGTAGGAATTAGGAACAGGTGTTAGTTTTACCGAACAATCAGTTCCAATCCAGCCATTTCTACATTCACTACAATTTAAGAATGGATCTGCATTGATTACGCATGCACATGATCCGTCATGAGGGGAGCATACGCCATTGCCATAACATGGGTTATTTGCTCCTCCGGGACATTCTTCATTACATGTTTCTCCCCAATAGCCATGGTTACAGATGCATACACCTGGATAGGTAACGTTTGCCAAACGATCCTGAATGAACAGAACAATAGTAATATTATAGAAGTCTATTTTCTCAATATTTGAAAAAAATGTAAGTGAAAGGTAATATAATACCAAATTATGAAGTATTTTGTATAATAAATTTAAATTCACTTACAAACGCAATGTACAATCTAGGAAGAATTACCATATTTACCCAGATGTGTAAATAAAAAGAATAGCGAATTTAAGAAGTTAAACTAAATGAGAAACTTTTAAAAATGTATTATATCTCATAGCTACAATACTCCAAAATAGTATTATATCACATAGCTATAATACTTTTGTGGTTTGTCATTATACTACCCATGTCATTGAAGTGATTGATCCTGAAAACAAATTTCAATAGCATGCTTCTGGAGTGTATTTGTATACTATTTTTTTTTATACTATTGTCTTGCAACATATTCTAGGATTTATTCGTTACTAATGATTTACACTATATGTATACTGTATGAACAAAACTTATCTATCTTATTCAAAGAGAATGTTGTGGTAAAAAGATGAACCCTACTACTCTATTAAACATTGATCAAAGTGCTTAAAACATTATCTGCAAATTGGTCTCTGTTATTAAAAGTATTCGGTATTAATAATATTAATCGTAATTAGAGTGCATTGCTGAGGTACAGATATTTACAGCGATTAATAATCATAATAATGATAATGATTATAATTATCATAATGATAGCGATGACAATAATGATGATGACGGAAGGAGTAGTAATAAAGCTTATAACTTACGTTATACTCATCCTGCTCCAAGCCACTGCAACGTACTGGATAATCTGCATACACAGTGACGTCATGCCTGTTGTTGGAAACGAGGTAGGCTAGAAACCAAGTTGCATTTACACTTTCATCATTTACACTGATGGAAAGAAAAAATGGATACAAAGGTATAGATGAAATATTAAAACATAATACAGCTATTTAATTAATATTATGCTTAATGACATGATATTAGGTAGGCTAAATCATCGTCATTACGACTGTCCTCCACTGATAACATTATATTTCCAAATTATTCTGGATAAATCATTTGGCTTATTCATTGAGGCATGCCTCTAAAGTTTAGTTTTGGCCTTCCTGTTTACTTGTTTAGGCTGTTTATTCTAATCCCACCTAGCTTATTGTTTCTAATCATGCTTGCATGAAATTCTCACTTTATACTATCTGGCTTTTTCAACCCTCACTCACTCGCCACTGAGGAAGGACTAGTGTTGTCCGAAAGCTCTGGTTCTATTTCTGGCTGTTTACTTACTTTTACTTTTTAGCTGTTGCTTATCATTTTTGTATCTCTACCGAGATCCAGATTTGTTTCCCACAGCATTGTTGTATATATATATAGGTTTTTTATTTTACAACTTACATGACTTTAAAGATATTTGTATGCTTTCCTGGCTTAAACTTTGAAGGTTGTCCCTGATTTTCTTTCGCTGTATAATATTCTTCGTCGTTAGAGAAGTGAAAGCGATTGTCAGGACCTTTTAAAAAGGATGATTATTAAATTAATACAGACATAATAATAGTGACAAATAATACTGATGATAATCATACTAATAATGGCGTAAACAACAGCAGAAAATATAATATATAATAATCCATACAGAATTAAGTAATTAAAACTTAGTAATTGGTAATAGTAAACGTAATGATTATCACTATGATAGATTTGGTGACTACCGAATTATAATAAGTGGATTAGATAAAGTCATAAGGAGAATAATTACGAGGATATGAACTAAGTGTATGAATGCCAACCCGGTTATATATTTTAAAAATCTCACCAATAGCAATGTACACATTGTGATCGTTTTCATTCTCATACCCGAACCATGCTACATAGCCTGTGGCATTAGACATTGGCATAACACAGTCTATGATTGGTCGAACCAAATCTTGGCCACCTTCTCCATCTAATGGATCACCATATACACCTTGACCAAGAGGGCATTCGTCTACACATGTTTCTCCAAATCGGCCTGAAATTTAATTTGTATTGACAATATTAATCATTTTTAAGTATTGTACCTGGTAAACAAGATTGTAGTCATTATACAGTGTTAGTAATCATCTTTCTTATTATATGTAAACGGTCTTATCAATTCAAGCGCAGCTGCAGAAGTAGCAGTAGGAACAAAATTAGTATTGTAGAAGTTACAGTCGCAAGTGGTATTAATAGTATTAATTTAGTAAGAGTAGTGGCAACAGAAGTAGTATGATCAGTAGTAGTAACATTAGGCCTAACAAAAATGGTAATAACTTTTGTGTAACTTTTTTATTTATTTACCAAATAAATAAAAATACATAATAAATGAATACAAATAACCACAGTAGCAGATCCGTGAGAATGGTCCCTAAGGATTAGGCCCGCCCCTTGGATATTGTTGCCGTCCCAAAATACGACAATGTTAACACATACACAAATACATACATTGTGGGACCACACGCGTGCTTATTAGCCACGCGCGTATTCCTGGTTCTTATCTGATATAGTCAGTTGTTAAGTTTGATAGACACTCTGGAAGGTCCATAGCGATAACAAATATCAGTATTATTAGGAATAATAGGAATGTTAATCGTTCCAAGGTCTAATGACAGGAGGCCACGAATGTAACACATGTCTTACTTGGTATGCAACTTCTACAATCAGGGGCAGCAAAACCCTCAAAACATTCATTGCAGCTTGCTCCTGTCCAAAATCCATGCTCTTCATCTCTATAACACTTGCACTGATCTCCTCCAGGGGATGTCGCAAATCCGTGAAGACAGAGGACGCCACAGTCGGTGTTGTATCCTATATACCCTTCCTCACATGTGTTACAGTTATCACCATCGAACCTAGGAAGGCAATGGTCACATACCTCACCAGTAAAGCCATGTTGGCAAACACATCGTGGTATGACACCAATCAAGGTACAGTTACCTGAAAAGTATATCAACAACAAAAAAAAATAACAAATATGACCTTTGCTTATGAAGTGGTACATACCATAAATTGCTAATCTTACCAATGCCAATTCATTGATTATAATGGAGATACAAGGTAACATTAGTTGAATATTTTATATCAAGGTACCTTTATTTATAAAAGAAAACATCAAGAATCGTAATTTTATAGCTGTTTAAAAAAACTGAATTGTGAAAAGACATTATTAATATTGTCATTTCTACTTAACTGACATTAAACACACTGCACATTTAGTTGGTACTTCAGTTCTTACCATTGTCATTGCATTCAGGTGTGCCTGGGCAATAAAACTCGCTGCAATCATCACCTCTATAACCAGGCATACACGAGCAAACTGATTCACCATCTCTCCGAAGACAACTTCCAGAACCTGTGCAGTCTGGCTCACCTGGGCAATCTAGGGCATCACATTGTTCTCCCTTAAAACCAATGGAACAATTGCAGACAGATCCATTGCATATGCCGTTTTCTGAGCATTCTATATCGCATTCAAGCCCTGAGAAACAGGGGTCACATACACATCGACCACTTAGTTGTGGGCTCTCCGTACCATGGATACACGGCTTGTGACAGCGGTCGCCAATCCACCCATCGCTACAGTTAACGCACATCGGAGGATTGAAATTTGTACCATCACAGTCACCTGAAAAAATAGTACCATGTATAAACATCAATAAAAATGATATTGCGATGGTGGTCCAAAATGATCATGGTACAGTATGCTTAATAGTATAGTAAACTATGGATGGAATAAATAGGAGCCTGGTAGGATGTTGAAAGCGGGGTTGACAGTTCAAGTCAGAGAAATAACACCGTAACAACGCATTAAAATAATTTATAGCATGTGACGCATGATTTCAAACCAGATTTGATTACATTCGCTATTAATGAATGCAATTAAAAATAACCCTTTATGACAACGCTACATAAAGCTTTAAGCAATGACCTCACCAGTGGCGCAATGCCTATGTGTTCTCATGCGGCAATCCGCAGAGCGACTCGATCCCTATAGGCCCAAAATTTTTTAACAAATAATGGAGATAAAAAAAATTATATTCAAATTTTACAGACGGCATGTGAGTGCCGTTTCCGACCATCTAGTTGTGCCAATCATAAATGTTCTTGCCTTAACCCCAACGGTGGAGCTGACGTGGTACAGACCACCATCTGTGAAAGTCACTCCATGGGCCCCTTTCATTTAAAATTCCTGCATCTGCCACTGATATCATATGAATATAATTTATTTCATCATTAAAAAAGGGCTGAGAAAGCCACAGGAACCCCAACTCCTTTACATTGCAAAACTATATTAATGCCAGCGACACACTATATGAAAATAAAAGCGACCAAATACTTTTAAACAACTCCTAACAAACAAGAATTCACTAAAACACAACCAATGCTTTTTTTTAAAACCAAAATCAATACAGCAATACACTTTCAATAAAGCATATTAAATGTTGAATTACCTCGATTATTACAGTCATCTGCGCACTTCGGAATATTACAGCCTTCTCCTATCCAGTTAGGCTCACATATGCATTCCTGAGTTCCAAGTGAACATACGCCATGTCCAGTGCAGTTGGTTCCATCACCAGGACATCCACGATAGCTGCATTCGGGTCCTTAAAATGTTCATCAGAACAATATTCTTGCATACATATTTATAGAATTTACATTTTAAATATTATCCCCCTCATATTTGTTTACATTATTTATATAATATTTAGATAATCTACTTTCAATTTTTTGTTTTTCAGAGTAGGCCTACATGTTTAACACACTAAAAACTGAAAATTACCATAATAGTGAAATATATGAAAGCCTGTTAGTGCCACCAGTGAATTACTTATCCCATTATCCCATTGGAAAGTGCCAAAATCCAATGATGTAATTTCCAATTGGAAAGTGCCAAAATCCAATGATGTATTTTCCAATTGGATCCAATATGATTTTTCCAAATGGAATGAATTTGCCATTTTAGGGTATCTACGTTCAGGCAAGGTGGAACCTGTTCTGCATTGAGTATAAGGCTATACCGCAACCTGGGTACTAAATTAATAAGTAGCAGCGGCCAGATAATTATCTGGCGGCAGCCACTTAATTATCTGGCGCCCGCCACTTAACGGCCCTTAAATTAATTCATTGGTGGCACTAAAGAAACTTACCCCACCATGCTGACTCGCAGATGCACGTGCCGTCATTACATTTTCCATGTGAGCTACATTCCATGTTGCACTCCAAACCACTAAAGCACAAATCACATTCACACGTTCTATTCTCTGTTGTAGTACCATTTACACATTGCTGTTGACAAGCGAATCCGGTCCAACCATCGTCGCATTCGACACAGAGTGGCACACCCTCGCTTCCGTCGCATATTCCATGGCCGTTACAATCAGGGTCTCCCGGACAATCTGGAATATGACAGCCTTCGCCTAGCCAGCCGTTGTCACAGAAGCAGCTAAAGTTACCACCCTCTTTCACAATGCATATTCCGTGACCCGAACAAGGGGTGCCAATACCCTTACAAGATGGTTCCTCACAATATATACCCCAATTACCATGATTGAGTCCATTAGCATCAGAGCAGCTGCATGTCTCTGTGTCATTTTGACAACTTCCAACATTGTTGCACTTTAATTTACAGCTAAGCCCATGCCAGCATCCGTGAGTGCAAAGACATGTCCCACTGTCCATTGGGTATTGGTAACCAGTATTTGGACCACATTCGATATCACAGGCGTGGCCCATCCAGCCAACAGAACAGTTACGGCATTCCGGGATATCAGTACCTTCATAACATATACCTCTCTCATTACAGTCAGGATTTCCAGGGCAATCTCCAGTCTCACAACCTTCTCCAATCCAACCTTCATAACAAATACATGAACCTAAAATAGAAATAAAGGTTAACCTGTGGTTGAAAAGTTTTTTTTTTATAAAGTTAATATAATGTAAAAAAAAATCAATATAATATTGAGCTAGCATTCAAAGGTATGATGCTTACCAGCAATACAAGCACCATGTCCTGAACAGTCGGTATCAAAATCTCCAGGACATCCAGGGTCATCACAGTATTCACCTCTTCCACCTTCAAAACCACACTCACAAAGACCCTCATCAGTGCATATTCCCATTCCTGAACACATGACATCACATCCAGGTCCATGAAAGCATGCATCACATGTACAATTGCCTGAATCCATTGGAATCTGTGTCCCATTAACACAAGGATATTCACATGCTGGTCCCATCCAGCCTTGATTGCAATTCCTGCAAAGAGGTGTTGGTTCTTCCGAAACACATTCTCCTCTCTCATTACAATCTGGTGTTCCGGGGCAATCAGGCAGTTCACATCCAACACCCTGCCATCCACTCCGACAATAACAATCTTTAGTTGCCAGGTTGCATTCCCCATGGCCTGTGCAATCTTCGCCGCAGCCAGGACACCCCTCTACCTCGCAAAATTGCCCACGCCACCCGTCACACCCACAGTCACAAACCCCAATTGTAGTGTTACAGATAGTTGTATGGTTACTACAGAATAAATCGCAAGACAAACCATTATAGCAAGGGTCACAAATACACTCCCATGTGTCATTTATACGCTGTGCTGTTCCGTGAACGCATTGTAACTCACAGGCGTCACCAGTATATGGAGTAACGCAATTAATGCAACGTGGGGATTCCTCGCCATAATAATAGGTACATTCTCCTCTCCCGTAGCAATCAGGATCACCGATGCAATCGGGTATGTGACATCCGCTTCCTTTCCACCCTGGATCGCAGATGCATTCAAATGTGGCAAGGTTACAAGAGCCATGGCCACTGCAGTCACCTCCTGGACAACCACGTATATCACAGACATGGCCCTGGAAACCGAGATCAAATTCACATTCGCAAGTTCCGTTCACACACTGACCATTTTCTGAGCAGATCTTATCACAGCCTATACCACTGTAGCATGGATCACAAATGCATTCAAGGCCGTCAATATTGATTCCATGAAGGCATGGCACATCACATATTTCTCCTGCCCATTTAGACTGACATTCGCATTGTCGTGGCATTGTGTCTATACATTTTCCATTGCCTAAAGATTAATTCACATTTTATTAAATATATCCTAACATGTTATTTTATTTCAAAAACATATTTCAATTTATTAATAGTAAAACGTTCACTAACAATATCAATATTTTAATTCAATGCAAATGTAGTATTTATAATTACATAAACCCAAATTGTCCCAGCACGATGGCATGCATTTCAATACTTGGAGTAAGTATTATACTATTTTATCCGAGATTAGTCAGTGAACCTTTCAGTTATTACATTGAATTGTAATATTTATAATAAAAGTTGAACGACAAAGGCAATAATGTCAGCAACCAAATTGTATTATTGTAATATTAATAATATGTGTAATATTAAATATATTTGTATTAATAATACAAATTGAAAAATATAATTACTTATAATTATGACAATAATTGTATATTAATTACAATATTAGTAGAAATAATGTTATCAATAACAATAATAACCATAACAACAAAAATAATAACAACAATAGAAACAGCAACAGCAGGAACAGCAACAATAGCAATATTAAAATCATTTGTAGCAATAATAACATTTTTAAAATTATAATTATATAGTTAGGTATATTCATTTCTTTGTCCCCTAGACGGGAATTTATTCATGTAATAGTAGGCCTCTCGCACTTTTACAGCCTTTGAGCTTGATGCATCAAGATATTTTGCACTTGTTGGATGACAACAGTGCATTCAGTAAAAACAAATCACAAACAAAACAGTTTATTACTGAATTTTGTGACTGAATATAAAATTACAAAAGACCAATCGGCAATCATAAATTTACGAACCATTATTAAAAAATACAGTGCAATATTAGAGGACTGGAAACGAAAAAAGCAACATCAAAATTGAAAGCATTAGGCTCTGTAAAGATTATAAAATTTTCTTTGACATAAACCATTTGTATGCCCACATATAGTCATGATGTGCCCACATAAATGGTCATGTTGTGATGTCATCATGACCATATTCAGGCATGACACACGTTTTTGTCAAATCAAATTTGATAGTCTTCACAAGACTTTAGGCGTTTCATACCTGAGCAGCTAGGAATGCCAGGACAGTCAGGAATTTCACATTCTTTGCCAGACCAACCGGGATAACACGAACACATTTGTGTAGCGCTGTTGCACGATCCATGGTTATTGCAAACAGGTTTACCTGGGCAACCTAATTCTTCACAAACAGGACCAAGGAAAGTACTTTCGCAGATACACATTTGTTTTTTTAGGTCGCACTTCCCTTTTTCGGAGCATTCACTGGTACATCCAGCACCTGTGTAACATGGTTCACACTCACAGAATCCGCTATCCATTGGAACTTGTCTTCCATGCGTACACGGATCGGCACAGGCGGGTCCCATCCAACCGTGTACACAATTGGTGCAAACAGGGGTATCACGGTTTGTGCCATTACAGTAGCCTCTCCCATTACAACTGTCTGGGCAGTCAGGAATCTCGCAGCCATCTCCTTTCCATCCCGGATAACAGAAACAAATCTGTAAGGCTGAATTGCAGTCACCGTGACCCGTACAATCTATATCAATTCCAGGGCAACCTATAATTTCACACACATCACCCCACCAACCTGGATCACATGAGCACATGTCATTTTCACACACACCGTTGTTTGTGCACTCAGCATTACATCCCTTACCAGAATAACAAGGATCACAGACGCAGTTACCACTATCCATGGGGATCTGCATGCCATGGACACATGGTTCATTGCAATCCCGACCCATCCAACCTAAGCTACAATTGGTGCATTTTGGTGGATCCAAAGTAGGATCACAATAACCTCGGTTGTAGCAATTCGGATGACCAGGACAATCTGGTAAATCACATGCATCTCCAGTCCAACCATTATTGCAAATGCACTCTTGTGTGCCTTTGTTACATTGTCCGTGCCCAGAACAGTCAATATCAATGCCTGGACAACCAATGATGTCACAAAGTTCTCCTCTCCATCCGGTATCACAGTTGCATTTTTCATCAATGATCGTTCCATGAAGAGAGCACTCAGCATCGCAGCCAACACCACTCCAGCCCGGTGTGCAGTTACAGAATCCACTATTTGGAGGGTCCTGGACACCATTCGTACACGGGTCTTCACAAGCGCGTCCCATCCATCCACGTTCACAATTTGTGCATTCTGGCGGATCGAATATATCACTACATGTTCCTCGTCCAGAACAATCGGGGCTACCAGGGCAATCTGGATATTCACATCCAATGCCTTCCCATCCACTATTGCAGGTGCACATATGTTGTGAACTGTCACAGCTACCACGACCGCTGCAATCTAAACCAAACAATCCAGGACAGCCAGGGATGTCACATAACTCACCCTTCCAACCAGTTTCGTAGTGGCAATCACATGAGCCGTTATGTATTTTACCATGTTCTGAACATTCAGAGTCACAGCCTACACCAGTCCAACCACTGAAACACAGGCAGTTACCACTATTCATTGGAACCTGAATCCCATTCACACATGGGTCACTACATGCAGGCCCCATCCAGCCCAGGCTGCAGTTTTGGCACATAGGAGGGCTGAGAGTATCATTACAGATCCCACGATCAAAGCAGTCTGGTTTTCCTGGGCAGTCAGCGATATGGCATCCAATACCTGTCCAGCCTGGGTAACATTCACATTCGTGAATTGCGCTATTACAGTCTCCATGGCCTGAACAATCTTCACCGACACCAGGACATCCAGGTATCTCGCATACATTTCCTCTCCATCCACTTAACTCATCACATTCGCATGTTCCATTTGTTGAGTATGTTGGGTCACTACAACGTCCATGGCCTGAACATTCGACATTACATCCTTTGGCGGTCCAGCACGCATCACACATGCAAACACCACTATCCATTGGCTCTTGATGTCCATTAAGACAAGTCTCATTACAATCAAGACCCATCCAGCCACTTTTGCAGTTCTCACATTTCGGTGGGATTACAGTTGAGTTGCAGTATCCTCTATCAAAACAGTTTGGTTCTCCGGGGCAATCAGGTTCAGAGCAGTCACTCCCTTTCCAACCAGGCTCACAAATACATTTCTGAATTGCTGGATTACATATTCCATTCCCAGAACAGTCTTCATATATTCCAGGACAACCTGCAAATGTACATACATCTCCTCTCCAACTGATGTCACAATCACATGTGTTGTTTACACAATTTCCGTGACTGTTGCATTCTGAATGGCAGAATTCACCAAGATAACACGGATCACACTGACAGGTATTTGACTCACATTCTCCATTACCTGAACATTTGAGTAAACAATTACTGCCATGGAAACACGGATCACATCTGCATTCGCCGTATTGTGAGCATGATCCATGCCCATTACACGTTGTATCGGCGTCGCACATGAACTCACAGTTGTAGCCTACATATCCAGGATAGCACGTACAGCCACCAAAATCCGAACACTCACCATTACCATTACATAATATGTCATCACACTTAATTTGACACGCAAATCCAACATAACCAGGCGAACATATGCAAGTGTTTGTTTCAGGTGACCAGATTCCATGGGAGCTACATTGTGAGCCGGAAAAACATAAGGATCCATCACCTCCATCATCTCCAAGACCCACAGCTGATCCTCCTTTAACGTACTGATTTGCTCGTACAACTTGATGAAGATATGCGGGTGAAAAAGTGGAAATGCGACCACCTGCACCACCACCTCCATAATGCTCTTGTGGGCAAGGATAAACATATGGTATTGTAAGACTATAGCATACTTTAGCATATGTGTGTGATTTGGCATTTGCGCCATTAGCATCTAATCTTCCCCAACCTTCAATGTAAAGGCCATCCATCCATAGAGAACCACCACTTCCACCTCCAGCACCACTATCACCGGAGAATCCATTTGCAGAAATATATCCTTCAAATTCAAGCAAAGAGGTTGCTACTAACTTTACAGCGCCTCCGCCAGGGCCTCCATTCCTATCGCTATTGCTATCGTCTCCTCCTCCACTTCCAACTTTTGTGTCTTGACAGGTAAGGCCATATTTCTTACCAACGTCTACAGTCGCCCAACAGCTTAAGCAAAATGAGCTTCCTGCTTCAGTTGGAAGACATGCACAGTTAGCCTTACCTCCTTGCGACCCATGGCCAGCTCCAGACCCACCACCATCCTGAAAACATGTTTTGCCACTACCTGGGCCATTTGCAGCAGGATAACCAACACCATCTGCAACGATATATCCAGATCGTTCTATTTTACAACTACGAGTGTACATAACAAATCCATCACCTACGATGACCTTTCCAGAGTGATCTATGTCAAAAATAGTAGTTCTTAACTGTACTGAATTACTGTTGAGGTCTCGAACACCACTGGCAACTACCTGCAAGGTCCCACCTTTTCTTATTGTCATTGACCGAAGCCAATACTGACCGAGATCTGTACTGTCACTTGAACAATTTCCACAAATGGAATATCCGTGTCGATAAAGTTTAATCAAGCCGTGACATATAATATTTTCTTGTCCGTATATTCCTCCACCAACTGTTAATGTAGTGATAATGTCACAAACTGGTGCAATTACCAGAACACCTCGACTGGTTATGTCAATATTTGATAGTGGCCGAGCCCTCTTATATGTCTGTCCAAGATGTAAATAATGCCTCGTTCCAATTATTAGTGAACCTGACTTATCACCTTCAATATTTTGAACGTAAATATTTGTGACTGATGGAAGCTGTAAGAAAAAAAAAGATTAGGAATATATAAAATTATACAAAGTGCATTGGATAGGATAAGAATTATGCTGATATTTGTAATCAGAAAAGACATGTAAATGATATAAATTAACACTCAGATAAGAAAGATGGATGTGCATGATACAAGACAGCAAACTTAACTTATATTTATTTGAAAGCAAAGTAATACGTATATGTTGTTATGTTATTATACCTCATTATTTAGCTATGAGGCTTCTGTTAAAATCGAACGGCTCAATCGAGTAACTTATTTTGTCAATGCACTTTATCTACATAGCTTTTTTCACACATTAAGGCCTGTTTACATTTTACAACGATAATGATAAAAAGCAAAAAGCAACGGTTTATCTAGAAAATAAAAGAAATAAGAGAAGTTTTCACACTAGTACAATTCGATAACGATTTATCGTGTATATGATAAAACAATATTTTTACAAATCTAATCACGTCATAATCATGGGAAAACGATAAAATCGTTTTACTACGACATTAGTCTTATATATGTTTTCAGGTGGACAACGATGCTATATAAACACGCCTCTTCCTATACCATCTTCAGTGCTCATGTTGATGATTCTAAAATGAAAATTAACCCAACATACAAAACAAATATTGCAATACATACCACCTGGAATGAGAGACAAGCTTTCCTTTTCAAAGTTACAAAATCTATATCATATTCAGTTGTTTCAATTTCAGCAAGTACAACTTGATACCCACAGGAAATATCTCGGTTTAAGTTGTCCAGTTCAAGGAATGTTTTGACGTCATCTCCTATTGTAACTTTCTTATATACAGTCCCCGGGCCACCAGCAATAGCGCCAGAGCCACCGGCTACGGTAATAATTCCCCTGAATGTAGCCGCATCTTGAAGGTATACAGCTATACGACCACCACTTCCGCCACCATCATCAACATGAAAGCCACATGGTGCATTGAGGTAGGTATGCGTTGATTCAACAATATCAATAAACAGACGTTGTCGTGCCTGTACTCTAATCATCCCCTTTTTATTTCCTGTCAATTCATAGATCATAATAGTGACATTCCGAGCTTCTGATGGGTGATAAAAATGTACATATGAGTATCCTTCAACTTGTACTTCATCAAACTCATAAAACCAGGTATTTTCCTCCATAACCATTACTGGATGGTCAACATCAATATCAAAATTGTCAATCTTAAGCTTCGAATGTTCTGGTTTAAACTCTGTGATGTTACGCTCGGGATCATTGTATTTTAGCTCTCTATACTGAGGACCTCTTTGAGATTCATACTTGTAAACTGTGCAGATGTGTATAAGAGACAGATATACATATACATACTTTTGATTTCTGAAATAAATTTCTATTTTGTGTGTATGGGATGCACTAGTTAATACAACACGCCACATTAAAAGTCAGAATAGGTACATAAATAAAGTCATAGAGCATATAAAATATGTTTTAACAATTTAAAGTTATTTACTATACAACTGTTGGAATAGATCAAAAACAACATATGTGCATTTACTTGGCCAGAAATTATATTTATAACACCACCACCACTGCCGCCTCTCGATCCACCTCCACCACTCCCCAAATCTTGAGGGTTGATAAACGATCCATAAGGTGCCCCACTGCTTGGTATCCAATTTTTACCTCCGCCTGCCCGGGCAAAATAAACAAGCTGATTATAATCAAATTGATTATAATCATAACAAACTAGTATACTTTATTTATATAGTCGTTACAGATACAGACTTACATTCAGTCCTAAGGTGCATTCACACCTTTCCCGAATTTTCGGAAAGAAAAGCGTACCAAACTGATCAGAATCAGGGCGTTTCATTTAGACCTAACATGGTCCAAATTTCGGCTCTAATTCGATGTGAATGCAGCTTAATTGGCCATTGATTATACCTCCAATGTGGAAACAGACACAATCACTCATATAAAATTAACAAAGTATAAACAAAAATATTGATACAAAGAAAAAGCAAATATACTTATAAATAAAAATATTTTGTAAGTATGAATTACAGCATAAAGTATTGACAGTTTAAGCATTGGTAAATATATGTCGATGAATAGTCGCTGTCGTTAAAGGCGCAAATACAGCAAGGTATAAATAATTTAATTTTACATTGTGTGCGTCTTAGTTGCATGACTTTCCTAAATCATTTATACTCATGATACTACAATTATATTTCACTTCAATAATTCTTAATGTGAAAATGTCTCAATTTAAGAATATTTAACACAGTATTGTCTTAAAAAAAAAAACATTGCACAGCAATGTCAGAACATTTATGACAATAATATTTAAAATAACACTTCTAAAATACCTGATGATCCATGTCCAGCACCAGATGCATATATTCCAGAATTTAACCCACTCCCAGGACCTTGACTCTTTGTATAACCATGACCATCTGATTGAAGCTTCCCATCTGCTTCAACTGTCAATGATCCTACTTGGATTGTCACTTTCTGGGTTTCTATATCAGCATTGCCTCCTTTTCTGATAATAATCTTCCCAGCATCTATTACTGGATGAGTAGGATTTGTCTGAACTACAAATCTGCCGAGATTATTAACAGTCAATATCCCAAACTCAAACATTCCCGGCACAAACTGACCAAATGGTTCATCTGTATCCCACATGTCCTTTTCTGGAATGTCATGTGTGTGTGCTGTTTTACCAATTAATCGGAATTGTGCATTTCGTTCTATAACACACTCCTCAACACCCGAGAGTCTACCCTCTAATATCACTTCTTCGCTAAGTATGTACACAGTAGTTGGTAGGATCAACTCGCCGAGACTATCAACATGAAAGCCACATGGTGCATTGAGGTAGGTATGCGTTGATTCAACAATATCAATAAACAGACGTTGTCGTGCCTGTACTCTAATCATCCCCTTTTTATTTCCTGTCAATTCATAGATCATAATAGTGACATTCCGAGCTTCTGATGGGTGATAAAAATGTACATATGAGTATCCTTCAACTTGTACTTCATCAAACTCATAAAACCAGGTATTTTCCTCCATAACCATTACTGGATGGTCAACATCAATATCAAAATTGTCAATCTTAAGCTTCGAATGTTCTGGTTTAAACTCTGTGATGTTACGCTCGGGATCATTGTATTTTAGCTCTCTATACTGAGGACCTCTTTGAGATTCATACTTGTAAACTGTTCCGGCGGCACCGTGTCCGATAGCTGTACCGACAATTGTATACCCGCCTTTAGCAACAAACTGACCCCCAAAAGTGTTTTTATGTCTTATATGTATTCCGATCCTCCCACCACTTCCACCAGCGCCTTGGTTCATCCCATTACCACCATTCACATGGATTGCTCCATGGCCCGTCATATTTGTTGCTTCAAGTAAGAAACTCCCTCCACTACCACCCCCAGCATCACGATAGATTGCGTTTTCCCCACTTGCTGATATCAAACCATTGATATGTATCAACAACCCGACTTTCCAATGCAGCTTCCCACCGCCAGCACCGCCAATCCCGGCAATGCTAGCTCCACCACCACTTCCAAAATGCATCGGAGAAAATACTGACCCATACGGTGTACCAATACTTCCATCAGTTACTTGTCCACCTACACCGCCATGGCTGCCACCAGATCCAATATTATGGACCGTTTTTCCACCTCCTTCTCCCTGACCACTTAAAAAGCCCTTTCCATCTAGTATAATTTTACCATTACTTTCGATATCAGCATGACCGTTTTCTATAAATCCGTGATTCATCAGAATCAGGCCTCCATATTTGATCTCCAGAGAAGCAACGCTGACAACCATATCATTATAAGTCTGTCTAAAAGATATTTCACCTTCTCGCTTGACATATAACTCTGGAATAGAAAAGTTTCCTTCGTCAGTTACATGTGCATACTCTCTATCCTCCACAAGTGCAGTCTGAGCTGTGGAGGTATACTCAATCTGGGCACCAGTTTCAATATACATTTCATGAACCCCTGTTGTTAATCCATGAATCTCTGTCCTGACACCATGAAAATGAGTCTCTGATGGCAAAACGATTTCGCTATTATAGTCTATTTTAAAACTACACGGAGCTTCAGTCCTGTTATTTATAGACTCGACTACTTCAACAAAGATTGTTTGATTGTCCCGTAAATGAAATTGCCCAGACCTGTCCCCAATAAATCGATGGACTGTGGCATTTACGTAAGAATCATCAGGATGGTAGATAGTCATTCTTGAGTAACCAGTAAGTTCAAGCTCATTAAGTTCGTACTCATATGTGTCATCCTCCAAAAGCACTGTGGCTACTGGAACCAGTAATCCTTCATTATCTACATGTAAATATTTATGATCTACTTCCAAGAGAGTGACATTAGTAGATTTGATGTATTTCCGTATGCGGTACTCTAGAGGGCGTAAATTCTCTTCAACATACGCAGTACCAGCAGCAGCTCCCCTCTGCAACATGAATTCTCCGGAGCTCAAACCACCTCGATCAGTAAATTTACCGCCATATGTATACCTCCATCTACAATGTATTGCAATTCTCCCACCGGATCCTCCACATCCTCCGATACTACCGTTACCACCTTGTACTGTAATTAATCCATGTCCTGTGACATTTGTAGCTTCTAAAAGAACACTTCCACCACTCCCTCCTCCTGCACCTTCTCCTGTACCATGGAGTCCTTTCAGAGACAATATACCATTCATATGAAGAAAATGACTAATTTTCCAGTGCAGTTGTCCACCACCGAATCCTCCCACTCCTAATCCATTACCTCCACCGCTTCCCATCGTCCGTGCCCAAAATACAGACCCATGAGGCTGACTCACAAGTGAAATATCCTCTCCCCCACCTTCACCACCATGTCCGGCGCCATATCCAAGTCCGTTCTTAGTGAACCCTGGACTTGGACCGCTTTCAGGCCCATGTCCATGTCCATCAAAATGGAATATTCCTTCACTTTCAACCCAGCCATACGTTGAAGATATTTCAACATGATTCATGTATAGTTCTCCTTGGTATTTGACTTTCAACTCACTTAATTCTAACAACATTTGGTCAGTAATCCGTTTGAATCCAGCCAGTCCCCCTTGCTTTATTGTGATTGTAGCAAAAGAGAAATTTCCAGGTGTTGTTATCATAGTGTAAGTTCTATTCTCAATGAGTGCTGTTTGTGCAGTTGAATAGAATTCGACAAATGCATTTTTTTCAATATAAAGGTGATGGACTCCTGTTACTAGACCTCCTATTGTACTATTACTTCCATGAATGTGAAATTCGGTTGGTAAAACAATTTCCCCGTACTGGTCAATTATGTAACTACAAGGGGCTTCAGTTCGGTTGTTTAGTGATTCCACGTATTCAACATAAACAGTTTGGTTTATTCTTATATGAAGTTGTCCTGTCCGATCGCCAATGAATTTATGTGCGACAAGTGTAACTTGTGTACGGTTGTCTGGATGGTAGATCAGAAGTCGGGCTGCTCCAGTAAGTTCCATTTCATCAAACTCATAATCAGTTAGACCTGCTTCCATCAACATTGTTGCTGTTGGAACTTTTTTGTTATCATTGTCCACATGAACGTATGTATGGTCGACAACCAGAAACGTAGTGTTATATTCTTTGTTGTACTTCTTCTCTCTGTATTGTACAGGCCTAAGATTTTCCTCAACATATACGGTTCCTGCTGCAGCACCATGTGAGTGAATGTTATCTTCCGCTCCATCTCCACCATAATCAAGGAATGTCCCTCCATAAGAATAGTGCCATTTGCAGTGAATACCTACTCTTCCTCCAGCTCCTCCTCCACCAGACCCAACACCATTACCTCCTGTGACGTCAATTACACCATGACCAGTAAAATTAAGCGTTTCAATCAATAGGCTACCACCACTCCCTCCACCTGCATTACGATCTTTCCCATGTCCTCCACGTAATTCTAACCGTCCATCTAGTTCAAGTCTGTCTCCTACTTTCCACCATAAAAATCCACCACCTCTTCCTCCAGTTCCACTGATACCATTTCCTCCACCGCTTCCAAATTCCCGTGGGAAATATACAGAGTTATATGGCATACCACCATAAGGGTGCGGGCCGCCTCCTTGGCCACCATGTCCAGCGCCAGTACCAATTCCTTCCAACGTTGTAAAACCAGCACCTGGTCCCATCTCGCTGTTGTAACCACTCTCATTTAAATCAAAAACTCCTTCGCTCTCTATCGTGGCATAGGAACATTCTATTTCAGCATCATTCATAGTAAAAGCACCTTGGTATTTGACTTTTAATATTGATGTTCCAAGTTTCATAAATTCGTTAATTTTCGAAAATTCAGCCACTGAGTTCCTTTCAACTATAAAACTTTTGAAGTTAAAATATCCAGGCAATGATACATCAATGTATTTATTGTCTTCAATTAGTGCTGTCTGTGCAGTAGAATAGAACATAACATCTGCACCACTAGCAATTAAAAGGTCATGAACTCCTGTCAACAGACCTGCTAATAATGTCCTGGTGCCATACAGGTTAACAACAGCTGGGAAAACAATCTCTGCGCCAACATCTATTTGGAAACTACATGGAGCAATTGTCTCGTTTGTTTCGGATTCAACTACTTCCACATATATTACTTGGTTTTCTCGTACATGAAACAGTCCAGTCTTGTCACCAAGAAAAAGATGAATCATGACCGTAACATTAGGTGCTGTTAGTGGATGATGAATCCTAGCATTTGCATAACGTGTTATGTGTACCTCATCCAACTCGTAAAAATCATGTTCCTCTTCCATAAGCATTGTGAATAGCCACTCTGCTCTTTGGTTTTCATTGTCCATCTGTAAATAGCGATGTTCAGCAACTACAAACGATGTATTTGTAATAGGATTGTATTTGATATCGCTATACTGGGGACCTCTCGCAGTTTCTTCCTTGTAAATTGTTCCTGCTGCACCATAGTGTTTGTCTGTAACACTCGATCCACCCTTTGACTTAAAATGACCGCCAAATGTAAATCTATGTTTTACATGTACAGCAATTCTTCCACCAGCGCCACCAAAGCCATCACTAATCCCGTTACCACCATTTACATTGATCTCCCCATGCCCCGTAAAATTAGTGGTTTCCAATAACAAACTACCACCACTTCCACCACCGGCTCCACTACCATTACCATCTTGACCTTGAAGACAAATAATTCCGTCTATGGTGAATAGTTTACCATTCACCCAGTAAAGTTTACCGCCACCGTTACCGCCGGTTCCAGTTCCATTTCCTCCCCCACTGCCAAAGTGTGAAGGCGAATACAAAGACCCATATGCATTGCCACCAGTTTCGGGATGAGGAGCTCCACCATCACCTCCATGACCAGCGCCATATCCAAATTTTCCTGAAGAGAAGCCTCTTCCAGGACCAGTTTCAGCTTTGTATCCTGTGTAGTTCAAATTTAACACTCCCTGACTTTCTAATATCGCATCTCCCGTCTCAATGTTCCCATGATTCATGTCAACTTGACCATGGTATTTAATTATCATTAAACTACAAGTTATAGTTAGGTCTTCTGTAATTTTCTGTAGTTCCATGAACGAATCTTTCTGAATGGTAAGGATGCTAAAGGAGATATTTCCAGGTGTTGTCATTTCAAAATATGTGCCATTGGAGATTAAAGCAGTTTGTGAAGTTGAAGAAAACACCACGCTTGCTCCTTGTGCGACATATAAATCTAAAACTCCAGTAATCAATCCGTCAATGTATGTTCTTGTTCCAAGAAGAAAAAGTCTTGATGGAAAGATAATTTCCGATCCAACGTCAACTCTGTAGCTCACAGGGGCTATAGTAAAGCCAGACTGTGATTCCAGATACTCACAGTACATTCGTTGGCCACTGCGTAAATGCACTTGACCCGTTTTATCACCAATAAATCGATGGACTACTAAAGTGGCAATGCCCTCGTGAAGCCATAAAACCACACTGTTGTGCATCTCAAGCTCTTCCATTTCAAAATATGTACCATTTTCATTCATGATTACAGTAGGTAGGTCATGATTTCTGTTCAGGTTATTGAGATACAGTTTCCTAAATCCATCGATCCACATGGTTTCGTTGAATTCGTTCTTTGTGGCTTTTCTAAATCTCAGTCCATTATTTGTGTCTGTATAATAGACTGTTCCACAAGATCCATTACCAGAGCCTCCAATACCGCCGAAAGATGTTAGTTCACCAGAATATTCTCTAAGCCACGCAACATGAACAGCAATGCGACCACCAGATCCTCCATATCCTTGATTATTACCACCTCCTCCGTTGACTGATATTCGGCCGTGACCGGAGAACAACAGTGTTTTAATATAAACACCTCCACCACTTCCACCTCCACTATTACCGCCACTACCATCTCCACCTTCGTTTAAAATTTCACCGTCAACATGGAGAGAATTTCCGACTGTAATAGTTACAAGGCTACCACCTCTGCCACCATCTGTTCCACCGCCTCCGCTACCAACATGGATAGGCCTGGTGTATGAGCCGTAAGAGTATCCTACAATAAAATGCGTTCTTAGTTAGGACGACTACCAACAATTACATGATAATATGTATTGATCCATCAATTAGACGAGATATTAACCTAATTGGTACTGATTGTTAAAGATAGTGCATTTTAATAAACTGAAATAGAAGCCTATGTATTATTCACATTTGTATTAAAATTAATAGTAGACCTAAAAGTTAGAAAATACATTTCTAAAAAGGCCGTCCAAATAATTCCTCTGCTTCGAGGCCGACTTATCTAGGAATACCGACCATTCTTTAAGAAATCTACTATGGAATTGCCGAATTTACTATGAAAATTATGTACAGTGAAAGGCCGAATTGATTTAAGGGAATTAAGCAGGAGGTGAGTGAAATCTGTTTCACATTGGAATTAAAAACATATGTACAGGCACAATTTACTAAAATAAATACAGTATGTATTAGCAAAATGTAAACAAGTACATAAAAATAAGATGCCGGTATTAACATAAATTGTGGGGTTAATTTTTGGTAAATTTCTTATATAAATCTTAAAGCACTTGTGTTAACAAAGGTTATTTCTTAAATTTATCTTCAGAAATTTCATATGACGTTGTTGGTGCAGGCATTCATAGAATCCTACCATAAAATTTCTTTATGTCATCACTAAAAGATGTTTCTTTTTTTGCTTAAGAGGATAAATGTTATATATTTATAACTTACTTTTTCATATTTTTTAATTGTGTGTAGTATTTAGTTATGACTGAGATTTAGAAAGAAATATTTTCCAACCTATTTTCGTGTCATTGATGTCTGAACCACCACCAAAACCGCCATGACCAGCACCAGTACCACATCCATCTATGTATTTACCAGGTTGTTCACCTTCTCCACCAATAGGGCCTCGCCCACTTGTTTGAAACCGAGCCTCACCCTCGATATGAATATTGCTGGCCAAGATATTTATTGATTTTGCAGCAACCAATGACTTATAGCGAAGAACTATTTCACTAATTTCTAATGACATGTGCTCTGGATATGTAAGAGTTGACTCTGCTTCAAGTTTTATAACCCCTAGTTGTAGCTTGCCTGCAGAAAGAATAAATAAATAAATACATCAATACATACATGCGCATAATTGTGAAATGAATACACGTTATTAGACTTTCAAACTAATTAAATGTATTCAATCATTCTATAAATGCAAATGGCATATCCTACCTTCCTCTGGCTCGGATGTGTACGAGCCATTGTTGATTTGTATAGTAGTTGCATTCGGACCTATTACTAACTCTTTACCATCAGCCACGGTGAGGTTATAAACACCAGTCATTCGTCCATTTAGAATGAATGGTGGATCTTTGTTCCCAATTATCCGGAAGTCTGCAGGAAGATATACATCACCTTGCTGGTTAACGTGAAAGTTTACTGGAGGAACGGATCGTCTGTTCACGTCTTGGGAATATTCTATATAAAAAGTCTGATCCTTCTGTATGTTGAACAGACTAGACCTGTCACCAAGGACATTACCAATGGACACAGATCTGTTCCCGGTAATTTCAAATGTTACCTAAAAAAAAGCAACAGCCACTACTTCAAAATACAAATATTTCATTTTAACTTCATAAAAATTACAAGTTTATTTTAAAATAATTCATTTTGTCGTAGCCCATCCATGGACTAAACGCACACTTAAATTCCTAATTAATTATATTTTTCAAAAGATGACTTTATTTAAATAAACTTACATTATTTTGCAACGTCAGCTCTTCAAATGCAAAATCGGCGAAGTTTGGTTCACGGATTTCTTCGCTCATAGTGGACGGGTTAACTTCATTCAGAATAAAAGGCCAAGGATAGGCATTATTTATTTCATCTAAATACAATCTGCGATAGAGGGTGTTATTCCTTTTTTCTTCCACGTAGATGGTACCAGTACCACCGCCAGATGCTGTTGATTGTCCAGCAGCTCCAAGTGCGTTTAGGTCCCCACGATATTCATCTTTTGTATTGATGTGAATGGAGATACGTCCACCAGACCCGCCAGCAGCACCTTTACCACTACCTCCTATAGCTTCAACATTACCATGTCCACGAATATGGGCTAGATACACAGAAATTATAAAACATGGTGAAAATAGAAAGAAAATCATCATCAAAAGTTGGTTTTTGGTTTAGAGCATAATTCACAAACCTGTTGTTATCCAAATGGATCCTCCACTGGCGCCTCCAATATTGTTAGCGGTTGCGTGATTTGCATTGGCGTTAATTCTTCCATCAAGATCCAGAATTGCTCCCACTACTATCCGTATTCTACCTCCTCCCCTCGCACCATTACCGCTGCCACCACAGCTGCCACCAAGAATTGGTCGATAAATTGAACCATATGACTTTCCACCAATCTGTCCAAGTCGATCTATATTTGAGAATTACAAAAACTAAATATATAACACTTTGCGTACATTATCAATATCGACACATGAGTGCAGTTTTGCTGTAGTGTTAGAAGATTATAAGAACTTAGTACCTGTTCCACCAATGGAAGCATGCCCAGCACCAGAACCTGGATGGTCAGCTGTTCCAAGAAAACTACCAACAGGACCTCTTCCTTGACAATTTAGATGAGCACCAGGTTCCAAGTAAAAATCAGTTGCGTAAATTTCAAAGAATTCAGCCGAGAATTCTGAATTTGACTTCATATCCTACGATGTGAAACACAAAATATAATAATAAATTGATATGTAACTTTTAGCACTTGCGGTTTTTTTTGTATATTGTAGGGAAATATTGGTCTTCTTCAGTTAATTTTCATACAGTATAGTTTAAAAAATTAAATTGAATTACTTATTTACAGTATTGAAAATAATGGGTTTATTGGCATTATTTAAACAGTCTTATTCATATAATTTTATTCAAGATTTTAATTATTAAAATTATCTATGCTCCATCAAATAGCGTACATCAGAATAAAGTATATCAATATCACATTCGATTTACTGTAAAAAATACATATCAATACTCACAATATGTGTAAACTTACCAAGTATCCTACTTGGAATTTGATACCAATGGGTGGTGGGAATGAAACACTCGAATCGGATCCAAATTCAAGGTCGGAGAATTTAAATGTCCCTGGTTCTTCTGTTTCCACGTTTTCTGAAACAACTAAGGCAGTGTGTGCATACGTACCAATGATTATTTCTCGTTCGTAAGCAATTCGAAGATTATGTACCCCTAGAAGCTGTCCGTTCCAGTAAAAAGCAGGAACACCTCTTCCAATGATGTCCACAGTTGTTGCTAAATTGGCTATAGCTCCAGGATCTATTTTAAAATTTACCGGTGCCTTTAAGACAGTTTTCCTTGTTTCTTGAACTTCGATTACATATGTCTGGTTTGCATGCATATGTATTCGTCCGGAAAGGTCACCATGAAGATGATGGATGACCATTGATACTGCTTTCATGTTATTAGTGATCTGCAATGAAGCATTTTTTGTGAGATGAACTTCATCAAACTCATATTCGGTTACTCCAGCTTCATCAACAGTGTGGTATATATCCCATGAGCGTCGCTGATTATCTACTAATAACTGAGTATATTGTTTATAAGTTCGTGTATCTTGAAGATAAACTGTGCCTGGCCCACCAGCAGATGTTTCAACTCCATTTGGGCCACTTGTTCCTCCGTATGCTTTGTATTCACCTTCAAAATGATTGATTAATTCCGTGATGATACTTATACGCCCACCTGAACCACCACCGGAGCCGTTCTCATTGCCATCACCTCCATGAGAGGTAATAGTTCCATGACCTTCCATTTCTACTGCTGACACAGATATTCCACCACCACTTCCTCCACCTCCATTACCATTTGTATCCCGAGAGCCATCTGCTTTGATCATGCCATCTAAGTGGAATTTTCCTGCTACAGTCATATTAACGTATCCTCCTCCTTCACCAACTGTATCCGATGATCCACGTCCTCCATCACTACCCCTAGTTGCTGTTGCTTTATACGAACCATAATAGAGGCCACCAGTAATAATGTTAGATGATGCGTATCCATCTCCTCCCTTGCTGGCATGTCCAGCACCCGCACCCACAGCTCCATCGGTTCCTTTACCGAAGGTTGCAGAAAGACTATCCATGGGTCTGTCCTCGGCAGAGCATGTCAGAATTGCTCCTTCCTCAAGGTTTATTCTTGATGTAAGAATTTCAATATATTCGGCAGATATAACAGCAGCGTATTTAGCGTCGATTTCAGTAACACTACATTTCATACCAACATCTGGGGAAAACTTCATTGCTGATTCACTGAGTAATTGTAGTGTGGCAAATGTAAATTCACCAGGCTCATCAATTAGATTATATTTTCCATTTCTAAACATGGCTGTATGTGCATACTCCATAAATTGAACTGTAGACTGTTGATTTATAAATAAATGTGCGACATTAGTCAAACGTCCATTGAGGTCAAATGAAACGTCATTTGAATCAAGCCCTTGTCCAATAACATAGAGTGTTGACGGAAATACAATTTCAGAATTTTCATCAACGATGAAATTAACAGGCGGTTTACTAACTGTAGGGACTGATTCAATCACTTCGATTGTGAATGAGTGATTAAAATGCACATGTAGTAATCCACTACGATCGCCGTAAACTTTATGTATAATTAACTCTTTCTTGTTGGAGGCTTCTGATAGATGTAGCGACGATTTCCGTGGCAAATGCACCTCATCAAATTCATAAAAGTCTGTATTTGTTTCATCTAATGTTACATATTGGAAGATATCTCTATTTCTGTTGTCAATGAGCAATCGTTTGTAGATGGCGGAGTTGTGTGGTTCTTGCAGAAATACTGTGCCTGAGCCACCAGGATTCGCATGGGCGCCTTCACCACCGATACTTATAAACGTTCCTTTAAATGCATTGGTTATGTTTGTGTACACGGCGATCCTTCCACCTGATCCACCACCACCTCTGCCTTTTCCATTTCCACCATTAGCAGAACATGTTCCATATCCTTTCATTTCAGTAGAAAAAATCAATATGCTTCCGCCGCTTCCTCCGCTGCGATTGTCATCTATCGAGCTTCCGGCAGAGACTGATATTTCCCCATCTAAGATGATCGAACTAGCTTCAACGTACATGGTACCGCCACCCCTACCACCGCTATCATCACTTCCTCGACTTCCTTTATTAATGGGTTTATAAACAGATCCATATGGTATTCCTCCGGAAGCACCAGTTGAATCCTTTCCACCAAAACTGCCATGCCCTGCTCCAGCATCTCCGTTTGCATTGTACGCACCACTACCTGTAGTGATGTCAATATTATTTGAATTTATTCTTGCATCACCGGTACATGTCACTAAGCCACCGAGCTCAATATCCAATGTTGAAAACGTTCCTTTATAAAAATCTGCATAAATGGTTGAATAAAATTTAACCATTAAACGACCAATGTTAATAGAGCTCCCCATGTTGTCGGCAAATATCCATTGACTCCCACTAAACATTTGTACAGAGCCAAACGTGAACTCTCCTTTGTTTGAAAATGATGCGTTACCTGTGTCTGAAAACTCAACTGTTTGTGCAGTTTGGCTAACTTTCATAATCCTATCTTCTGCAAGTATCAGTTCAATTACTCCAACTAGCTTTCCAGAGAGATCCAATGCCCTATGTGCGTTTCCAATGCCAAGAAGTTGTGTCTTTGAAGACATTATTAACGTTCCACCTTCGTCAACCATGATGTTGATATAAGTCTTACTAGCTGTATTATTCCCTCCCCCCTGACGCTCAACAGTTAAGGTCTGTTGCCGATGAATGTGCACTAAACCAGTTCCATCACCAACAACCTTTCTTATGTCGAATGTTGTGTTAATGTTACCTTTGACCTCTATATGGAACATTACATTGTTACTGAGATCAATCTCGTCTATAAAGCCATCTTCCCATTCTTCTGCAAGTGTAAAATAGTGTACAGTCTGCAGGTTTTCATTATCAATAATTAGTTTTTCATACCATGTAGTACTGTTCGATATTTTCGTTTTTATGTAGACTGAACCAGGTCCTCCTGGACCACTTCCAGTTCCGCTTCCGCCTGCAGCCTCATATCGACCTCTAAACATGTTGATTCCATGAATATAGCTTGCGATCCTCCCACCACCTCCACTGCCTGAACCTTGGCTACCAGACCCTCCATTAGCTGTTAACAAACCAGTGCCACGGAGTTCCTTGTAACAGATGACCATGATACTTCCTCCACTACCAGCTCCACCAGAATCCACAGATTCTCCATTAGCAAGCATGTATCCATCTATCTTCAATAAATTTCCGGATATATATATAGATGAGCCACCCCTTGCACCTAAGCTACCGCTTGTTCCCGGAAAAATAGGATTGTAGATCGATCCAAAAGAAGGGGCTGGTGGATTTACTCCTGAGCCCACACCCCCAGGTCCACCATGACCACCACCACCATTGTTAACTCCCGCACTTGGGTGAGTGGGGTTTTCAGCAGCCATACCAGTGACATCAATTGCCGCATTTCTCTCAAGAATGAACGTTTGTGACGTAATATTTACGAATTCATATGCCAAAGTTACTCCGCCTTTGATATCAAGCAGGTCAGTAGTAAGTTTTAAACCTGTACTTACTATCTCCAGTTGGGATCCTCGCTTAAGTACTAAGTTAGAAAATAAGAATGAACCAGGAACACCAATGGCGGTAAATCCTTCCTTAGTTAATCTCCCAGCTGTTGTTATATTGTGAAGCTTTAACAATCCGTTTTCTTCTATTGATACCATTTCAGCTACAAACCTGCCCTCGATTTGAATAGTTGTGCCATCTATGACGAGAGAATACGGGAAGATTACAGTTGCTGTACTGTCCACATGTATGTTAACCTTCGTTAAAAGGTGAGCCATTACATCTTCAAAGTCTCCTAAATACGCGGTCTGCATCTGATTTGCATATATCATACCAGTCTTGTCACCAGCAAGTTCGCTTATGTGAATATCAATATGGCTTCCGTTAAACTGAAGTGATCCACATCCTAAAATATTGATATTAGAATAATGAATAAAATATTAACTATATTTTTCGACATTATATAAATTATGATATGGTATACTGTAAGATAAAATTAAATTGTACCGCTATATTGCATTACCCAATAGAAATAATATTGTTACAGTATTTTAAGCATGTGTGGTCAGTCAAATCTTTGATACATTCTGTGGAAAGCTTTAGAGATGCGTGCAATATTAACATGCATTCAGGAATTTGAACAGAGTCGTACTTGTCGCATTTGATTTTTTCTGTGGCCAAAAACAGCATGTCTTCCTGGCTTTCAATTGGTTAATCTTATAATTTGTCCTGGGAATTTGACCAAAGAGGATGTTACACAGGTTACATAGAGTAAAATACAGACGTAAACGCATAAGTGCCAGTGCGAAGCAAACAACAGTGAATTTGTATTATTTTAAGTAATTGTAAACGGAATGATTTTTTAAAAATGAGTCACGATAATATACACAAACCTATATGTTTTAAAGGTACGGTAAAGACATTTTGTTCCGTTGACAATACATGTTGCTAACGTGTCTTGTATATTGAGAAACAGTTTAAAGTTTAAATTAGGCCTATGCACAAACAGTAACAATCTGAAATATGTACCATTTGCGACAGGTACTACTCACAAATAAGCATTGCACTGAAGCCGAAAATGTTAATTAGTGCCGCTTACAGTATTTAGTTGTTTACACTATCATACAAAGCAACAATAATAAAAGTACTCCTAAATTTGCTATAGTGATGTGTATTTTAAAGAGGAACTAATTTTAACTTATTTTTTACTGAAAGAGGTTGCACGCAAATGTGTATATTATTCTGTGTTCATTCATCACATTAGTACCTTTAACTGAAACCTTATCAAAGTTGAAGTCTTGAAATTTCGATGTTAAAACTGTCGCTGATAATGTCGGACAAGAGCCGGCTCTTCCACCGTCGATGATCACACGATGTTCAGGAATTCCTGCCAGTTTTGTTTTAATGTAGACAGAGCCTGATGCTCCCACTACATCGGTGGTATCGTCTGGGCCACTCCCGTAAGACATAATATCTCCATGAAATCCCAACCTAAATTGATAAATGAAGATATATAAATTTCTATGTTGTTAGGTAATTGATAATTAAACAATATAGGTGATGATTCTGTCCATATTACTTTGCAATTGAAACCAGAATGGAGTGATAATTTCTGTATCGGAAGACAACAATTAGCAGTATTACCTTTACAGTCAAGTAATTGAAAAAGAATTCTGCTAATTTGGGGGGGGGGGAGTGTTATCCATTGTTTTCATCATTTTCAAGAGAGTACAGATATATTTTTGTGGCCAATTCCCTTTGACAGAGTAACCGATAAAAAAACAACTTACTTTCATCTGACATCATAAGGTAAATGTGTTGTCCCTAAGGTGGTCGAAAAACTATAACAGTAATTAAAAAATGCAAAAGTATTGGGACTCACTCATCTTGAACATGAAGTGCTATTCGTCCACCAGCACCGCCTCCACCATTTCCAGAACTACCACCGCCGTTGGCGGACAATCTACCAGTTCCTTTGATATCAGCAGCTGCAATATACACTCCTCCTCCACTTCCACCGCCACTGTCTTCTGTACCTTCAGCTCCATCAACGACAACGGTTCCTTAAATATAAAACACGTTATAAATGGTACTGGATTTTAAAATCACTTTTTGTTATTTAAACAATACTGTATGTATATTACACGTCTCCAATACAGATGCAACATGGTATGCTTAGTATGGTAAAATACATTAACAATAGGCCTCCAAAGTCCGTATTTTCAGTAGGGTCCTTCAGGTGGTGTTCTGTCATTCTTTACCTTGTAACAGAAGATTGCCGATAATTGTTAGATGAAGATAACCTCCACCCGCACCTCCGGAACCTGTAGATCCAGTACCACCACCACTGCCTGAAAGAGTTGGGTATTCAGTTGATCCGTACCATACGCCACCCTGATTGCCATCGATCTTCGAGTAACCTCCATAACCACCATAACCAGCTCCAGTACCTCTAACTCCAGACTAAATTCCAAGATAAATGAAATTTAACAGGAATACAGACTTCATAATTATTTTCAAACAATAGAATAAACGAAAAAAAAGGTGTATTTTGTTAATTTAGATATATACAGAACTTAAAATAGGCATAGCTCAGTGTCTGTTGGTTACAAGGATCTTACTAAAGTTATTTTAAATCATGGTACACTTAAATGCTCTAATGAGGATCTTGATTATATTTAAATTTTAAGATTTGATATTTAGTGGGCGAAGCACAACCACATTAAAAAAAAAATTCTAAATGTAGTGCTGATATTCCAAGAGGGGTGCAGTATCCCAATTATTTTTGCACGACGATCTAGATGGGAATAACTTCCAGTCTATTCAATGTGAAGACGTTTAATCCTTGCTGTCGTCCGAAATCTAGAGCGCAATCTGCTTCAAATCTATGTTGTACAATGAACGCAGAACGATTACGGATAAGCCCATCTGTCCAGGAGTCAACCCAGCACAATGCAAAAGTTCTGTACTAGCTGGGATCACCACTGTATGATATCTAATAAAAGTATTGCTCAAATTTTGACTTTGTCGAGACTAGAATGCAATTCTGTAATACTAAACTAACCAACATTTTATTTATTTTGTTGTAGATTATAGTCCAACTAAACACCATAATGTTTACCTGACTTCCTGCACCTTTTCCTTTATCAGCTATTTCGCCTCCACCTATTAGATTCAATACCCCACCAGGATTGATTAGAATGTCATTGCATTCCATTCGAAGAGTGCTTGCTATAAAGCTTGCGCCATATTCTAACTCCAAGACATCAATTGACAATGGGTCTGTTTGATTGTCTGGTGGTTTGGGTAATGTCAGCCATCCATTGGTTTCAACAAGTAGACTTGCGAATTTATAAGCGCCTGGTGCAGAGACACGATAGCTTCCACCAATGTTCAGAGATGTTCTTCCAAATGGAGAGAGTGTTACTTTCTGGTTTGCACCGATTATAAGATTAAATATATTTGTAAGAATGCCTGAAAAATAAAGCAGAATGCATACAATGAAGAACAGTAGAACTCTGGTGTATATTAGACAGTCGCTTTTTAAAAACCAAGTAAATGGGCAACACTAATAAAAACAAATATGGAGGTTTTAATGAGGTTTCAAGAGGAGCGGTTATTCATGAGTGGCGTTTCGTACAAATTACTATAATGATTAAATATTATTAATACTCTATACAAAACATCTAGACAGATTGGTTGACAATAAAATTAATGAATGCTTTACAGTTTGTATTACAATGAGTTTCACATTACCTGACAGATTGTTATTTGGTCCAGTGAAAGTAACTGTTGGTGGGAGACGTAATTCTCCGTACTGTTCCAAATGAATACTACATCTTATAATGGTTTCATTCAACTGCTCGTTCACTCCAAGTTTCATAGTATCATGGATCAAAATAACACTATCCTTATCACAATATAACCGATTAGCAATGACAGTTACGTTTTCACCTGATACTTGTAAATGAAGGTAACCTTTGACATGAAGTTCATCAAATTCGTGTTCAAGAATTTCAGTCTCATTAAGAAGTGTGGTAGGAATTTCACCATCCTGATTTATTTTGGAATTATCTATGAAAAGCGAAGTTGACTTCAAACGATCGATAATCTCAATTTTGTAATATGTTCCGGATCCACCTGGATGACTTTGGCTTTGATGATTCGATCCACCATGAACCAAAAATGACCCAATGAAAAGTGACGTGGATTCCTCCTGGGTAACTATACGTCCACCTCCTCCGGCTCCACCTCCACTGATACCACCGTCTCCACCTACCACATTGATATATCCTGATCCAATGAATGAATACTTGATATTGAGAATGACAGATCCACCACTTCCACCACCTGAATAATTTATACCATTTGTTCCACTAGAACTGATCGTACCATCTACCCGAAGATTACCGACATGAAGTGTAATTATACCACCACCGGCACCTCCAGATGTTCCATCTTGACTACCGCCACCACTACCTCGTTCGTATATGTTATACAGACTTCCATATGAACAGGTTGATGGTTCCACACCAGATTTTCCTTTTCCTCCGCAACCTCCATAGCTTCCACCAGAACCACTGCCTGATTCCCATTGTCCACGACCAGGTCCATTGTTAGATGTGTAACCTCCACCGTCACTAGTCAAACTTCCACCGAAATCAATCTCTACACTTTCTGCATCCAGTTGTAGCCAATCTGATTGCAATATAGCCATATATCGAAGGTGAATAACCTTCAGAATATTTAGAGTTATCTTTGTACCATTGTTGAATAATTTTAATGATCCAGATCCGTAGACATGAAGTTCATCAAATGTAAATTCACCAGAAGGATCTTTGAATCGTTTACCTGCTGTACTTGCATCATTTGTTATAATAACCTTTGAATTTGTTCCAATTCTAAAATTAGTTACACCATGCAATACACCCATAAGATGAAGAGAAACTTGATCTGGCGTGATTGACTGGAAGTTGACACTACCAGCAAGGTTTACTTGACCACTCTTTTCTACATACAACGCTGTTGTCATAGAATACGGTTCGACCGCTCCTTTATCCTCAGCAATTGATAAAACTTGATTAGATTTTACCAAAATAAAACCAGTTCTGTCACCTATCAAATCGGTTATTGTAACAAGCTGATTAGTATTAGTCAGAAATTCCACTCTTCCGTGTCTAATACAATTGAGTTTAAAGTCAATTTCGTTGTTTACAAGCGGTAGTATTGTATTAAATTCAGTAAATCTGTTATTGTTATCTACGGTAATTTCAATTTCCAATACTGCTCCTACACCATATGTTTGAGTATAAATGGATCCTGCAGCTCCAACATGTTTTCCATTTCCACCAATAGCTGTCAAAACACCATGAAAGTCATTGATATTGTTTGACTCGATTGCAATTCGCCCACCACTTCCTCCTCCACCACTATTTTCAGAAGCATCACCTCCATTGGCACTGATATATCCATTACCATATATGCTGAAACATTTTACATACACACTACCACCGGCTGCTCCTCCCGATAACAGAGACTGTGCAGCTTGTCCTGTTGCTGTCAATACACCATCAAGTGTCAACACTCCACTGACAAACATCTGTAAAACACCCCCACCCCTTGACCCTTCAACGCCACTTCCTACATCCGATGGAAGTGACAATGAGCCATATGCTGTACCTGGTTCTCCTGAAATTACACCTCCAACACCTCCATAGCTAGCACCTGATGCAGTGTTGCCAGGCGTTCCAATTCCACTCACATTTCCACGTTCGTTAACATCTATTTTTGCTCCCGTTTCAATTTTTGCTGTATTTACCATAAACAGAATTCTTTTAAGACGTTCTCCACCTTGAATCAATGATCCATACGAAAGAGTTAAAGCACTGCATTCTACTTTAACTACTTCATCGTTAAATGTCAAAATCGAAGAAGCAGCCAAGAACACTTCTTCAAATTGAAATTCTCCAGGAGATTCCATTTGGCCAATACTTCCACCGGGAGATACATCCATGCGGGCATGATCACCTAAATAAATGTAATCTGCTTGAATTTGACCGGTAGATCCAATTCTGGCCGAACAACTTTTACCAACTGATACTTTGCTACTGCTAAGAAGGCCATCAACAACTAATGATAATATTTCTCCCCCGTTTATAAGGTCCATGTCTGTAAGCATATGCAGTGTGCAATCAGACATTACATTGAAACTACATTTTGCTCCTCTTACACTGTCACCAAACTCAGTGATTGATACTACTGATGCCCCTGTGATGTCCATTACGCCAGATGAATCACTATACAAAGTGTTTACTTCCAGGTCCGTGGAAATTTTTATATGCGCAGATGCGTTTATGTGCATTTCACTTAGGGCAGTTATGTTTTCAAGTAATGAAGATGATACCACTGTTGGCTGATCACAAGGTCCATTCACTATAAGCTTAGTGTGAGTGTCTGTATTGGATTTTTCCTGAATGAAAATTGTACCAGCTGATCCACCAGCTCTTCCTTTAGCATCCATTTCACCAAAGAACGTTTTCATTTCCGACACATGAACAGCAATTCGCCCACCACCGCCTCCTGAGTTGGACTGACCTGACCCCCCAATAGACTGAAGTTTTCCATGTCCAGTTAATGTATGAGCTGTGATGTAAATACTACCTCCACTGCCTCCTCCGGTAGAATGTGAATCAGCACCGCCTGCATCAACCACGCCATCCAAGTGAAAGGTGTCAATAACGTTGATCTTAATCTGTCCACCTCCATTCCCTCCATTACCTGCTTGACCACACTCCATTGGTTGCGGTATACTGCCATACAAGTAGTTGGAATCTGTTTGGCCTCCACCCAGTCCTCCATGGCTACCTCCGCGCGAGGCATGTACCTCAGTCGAAGGTTGCCCTTTACCTTTTGCATTGATTGTAGCACCAAAATCTAAACTTAAATTTCCAACAAATAAAGAGAATGTGTGATTCGTACAGTCACCTTGCCTAACAATTATCTCGGCTCCAGCATCTAATGTTATTTCATCATATATATGAACATCATTTGATAAATAGCAAGACTGATGCTCGTTGAGATGAAGAGTTTTGTTTTTCAAACAGTCCGTAATCTCTAAAGGATCTTCAACAGCTGGAAGTATAAGGTTAGTATTGGGTGAAATCACAAATGTGTTATTTGTAAATTGTGACCCATAACCTATTTTCCATGTGTCTGCATCGATGACCATTGGGCTGTTGTGTTCATTTCTGCAAATTAGTGAACCTTTCATTATTCCTTGGTATAATATACCCAGATGTCCAATTCTAAATGTACCTATGTCATCTTCATAAGAATGTGCCGGATAGCTGATTTCAAATGCTCCTCCATTGAAAACATTCAGTTCTCCGGAATCCATTCCAGCAAGGCTTCCGCAAACTTCTATTCTGACACCGTCGCGCAGAGTTACTTTAGGAGGTAATTTTACAAGAGCTAATTCGTTTATTTCTATAGATATCGGCAGATCTATTTCATCTGCGTGCTGAATATTAGTACAAAAGACCGAATCTGTACTTAAAATGTATGCATGTATTCGATTACCAATATATAACTGACCAGACCTGTCACCTGTTACAAATTCATAACAAAATGTCAATATATTCTCTGAGTTTGCTCGATCATTTAGAACCAATGAACCACCGTGCGCAATATCTAGGCTCTTGATGCTAATGAAGTCGATATCAGGGCCAAACGTAAGGGTTGACGACTGGGATGATTTGAAGTCACAGTTGTTTACGACAAGCTGTCAAAAATACGAATAAAAACATAAGCAAGATATACTAATAATAAATATAACAATATTATTACAAAAAGTTTTTTTTGGTTTGTTCTTGCTTGTTTCTACCTTTGTATTTTCCTCTTCGTTGGCAACAGATTTCTGGTATACAAATCCAGCAGCACCGTTTTCATACCCTTGGCCTCCGCACGCCGTTGGATTTACACTCATGATGGTCTGAACACTATTAATTGATATTATACCACCAGCACCACCGCCACCTCGGTAACTAGACCCTTCCATATCCCCATTTCCACCACTGGCATCAATGTTACCTATGAAAACGACAATATTATATACCGGTACATTTCAATAATTCAACCAGTGAATATAACAATAGAATAATAATAATAATAATAATAATAATAATAATAACATTATTATCATTTCTCTTTATAATACTATTATTAATATAAATAGCATTTATCATTATCACCACCATTGTTATCAACATTGTCATATCTTCATCCTCAACCTATTCATCCTCGTTATCTTTCTCATCATCAACATTATTTTTATCATCATCCTCATTATCCCCATCACAATCCATTGAAATACTGTGGATTTTGGCGCTATACACATTTTGACAACTAAAATCCTGACGACACACTGTAATAATACCATAACGTTGTCATTTGGAACATTTATTTAATTGTAGATATTTATTTTGTCACAACAAACTATAATAAAGAATATATAATAAGTATACATTTTACTGATTTGTTACAAAATAAACTTTTAATACAATTTAATCTATGAAGGCAAAATTATACCTACCTGAATTTATGAAAGTGTCAGTTACTTCAATCCAAATACTTCCACCAGCTCCACCTCCAGATTGTTCTGCAGGTGGTATAGCAGATGCATCTTGCCCACTATTTAAAAAAAGTTGTTTATACAAATTGAATGTTAGACATCATGCATGTGAAACTACAAGTAATTTACAATAAATATATGCTTATTATAAACATCACCTTAAGTTATGCACTCTGATGTAATTTTCTTCATTCTAAAGATTTAAGAGTACCGTGTTATTACAATTCTTTTTATTACCGTGCCGATATTCTTCCTTTATTGTTTAGGTTGTTGCACGCAATGTGTAGAGCACCGCCACCGGCCGGTGCATCACCATCGTTACAAGACTCACAGCTTCCAGCCTGACCAAACATTGTAGGAGATGCAATGTTATCATAAGAGGGATTTGTACAAATGCTGCTAGACCCTTTGCCACCAACACCTCCATGACTACCACCAGATCCTCCGCAATATATACCTAGGTATTAAAGAACTAGGGCTTATACATTCAAAATAAAGGGTACTATTTTTGTCTAAAAATAGAGATTCATATTTAATGGTAACACACATTTTAACAATATAATATATTATAGTGCCATAGTTTTATTGTTGACTTTCATCACTAAATAAGCCTATTTGATATATACAATGTATTAGGTTTGTGTAGCTAGACTATCATTGAAAGAATATTAAGGCCAATTGCAATGAACTTATTACAAAAATTAAAAGTAGGCTTACATACCATCTTTTATGAATTTAGAACCAGCATAATCAAGATTAATTTCTGCACCTTCAGCTATATATATCTTTGCTGCAGCTATTTCAAGGTTTCGTCCATAAATTCTTCCTCCCGATGCAACAGAAAATTCTTCCAAATGCAAATTATATTTTAGGTCTGTACTGGTCATTTCAACTGACCCTCCGGCCTGTATGTTCATGGTTTCAAAAACAAATTCTCTATTTCTTTTATCAAGAAACTTAGCGTCTTTGTTTAATATTAGCTTTCCGGAGCTGATCGAGATATCACTAGTAATACCAAGGGTTCCACTTATAATATTTGTGGTCGAGTGTAGCATCACTCTTTCTGGCAAATATAGAGCACCTTCACTGTACACATTAAGATTGACGGGTAGGTAGTACCTTGATTTTGTGATTGTGATTGTTTGTCCAGGACCAACATGAAGACTTCCGTAACGGGAACTATCTTGCACTAGTTCTCCGCTGAGTTCTAGGATATCAACTTTGATGGTATTATCAGAAGGTTCCAATGCCAGGTGAGCACCTCCTCTGATTGTGAGCTTGCCCACTTCAACCTCTTCAGTGAAATCAGGTACTGATAGCCATGTCATTCCACCAAGAATACTAAAGTCGTCATAATTTGCGATGGTATTCTGTAAACAAACCAAAACAAATGTAGGTTTATTATTAATGTGAATATGGAGAAACAATGGAATATTGCAACTATGACAATGTTAAAAAGGTATCTCGTATATTTACATTAGGAACATTGTTAATACCTCATTTGGAAATTGCCCATTGTTGTCAATAATGAGATTTGAACTGGCTGGGTCAGACGATGATGAAATGTAAATCGTTCCAGCTGCTCCAGCTTCCCAAGATGAACTACTACCCCCAAAAGAGGTAACAAGTCCCTCAAATGTACTGTTATGATTATAAACAGCAATCCGACCTCCGCTGCCGCCTCCTCCACTATTGGGAGAACCTGTGGAATTAATATTGTTTATTTATTTAATCATTTAAATTAAAATATCGGTGACGTAATAAAAGTTTCAACGTATGCTTAAGCATGTAGAAGAGAGATAAGAAAGAAATGTATCGATTTTTCAAAACCATTTTTGGAAGAATGTGATTTCCACTTCAGTGTAACAATTGAGATGATTCAATCATCAATACATATAGTTCGTTCTGTAATTACCGCCTTTCCGAAGGAGATGGGAAGGTATTGCAATAGTGCACATCTGTGTGTGTGTGTGCTTCCAGGCACATAACAGAGAAAACTACTGGAGCGATTTAATTCAAATTTTAACACATTAACAATGTTATACGTATCTCGGTTTTTGGATGCTGATCGGATTTAGATGCAGATTTTAGAATGTTATTTATATATTCCGGCCGCAACAGACATAGCCAACTTGGGCAGATCGTTTGGCCTGGTTGGCTGGTCTGAACCGACCAGTGCGGATCGGCCACAGGCCTGGGGGAGGGTGTATCAAATTCTGGTCGCCGGACTGGAAGCGGTCTGGCCAGCGTGCAAGCCCAGCTTCCACGCAAGGTGATTGATGCTAACCAGTGTTTGGCAATGCCGAGGTAACTTGAGCGGATCGACCTCATCATTAAATAGATACTAAACTACTAACTAAATCCTTTCCGAGCCACTGGGGCTCATAGGGCTGGAGCTCATCACCAGTTTCTGTAGTGTGAAGCGGATGAGAGTTGTACTCCCCCTGAACGGGACACTCAGAGGGCGGATTTGGGGGGGGGGGGAAAGAGACAGGGGGACTCCGGCCCGGCCAGGTAAAAAAAAAAGAAGAAAAAAAGAGAGAAAAAGAAAAAAATGATAGCCCAGAATGCCTCAAATGTTATGTTCGGGCGTCTAGAACACAAAAATTTTGTGGGGGAATGCCCCGGACCCCCTACAACAGTGTTGTCTCAATCGGCCCAACTTTCGGCCCAATAAAATATATTTAACACGAAAGTGCTCAGCAAGCAGATGTGTATAAGAGACGACCCTAGTCCATCGCAGGTTAGTCCCCAGCAGTTTGCTGGTACCCATTGATACAGCTGGGTGGACTGAAGCAATGTAGCTAAAGTGCCTTGCCCGAGGACACAAGCGAATCTGCACAGCGGAGACTCGAAACCCCAACCTTATGATTGAAAGCCCAAACTGCCACTAAATAGATACATTACATAGATAATAAGGTTTAAGTTGACACACAGTAATATAAAACAATATTTCTAACCTGCTCAGCCCTGACATTAGCCTTTGACCATTCTTTTGAAGTAGATGATTATTATCTTTGAGTATAGATACTATCTTGTTGTAAGTAGTAAAGAACTGATTTATATAGAAAACTCACCTTTGCCACCATTAGCTTGGATAGTACCTGACCCATGAAGCTGGGAACATAATATGAGAATGCTGCCACCGCTAGCTCCTCCGTGCCCAGTAGTTCCATCACCACCATCAGCTTGTATGAGTCCTGTATACAACCGGTTAATTATTGTAGTAATTGACAGAGATTGATATGTTAATTACAAGAATGAATGGCATTATAAATGTATTTTATCAGTCAAAATTACTGTAGGTAGTGGGTTTTAAGTCTGTATCATTATTCCTAGCTGGTAGCCTAGTGGCACTTTCCATGCCCATTCCAATGTTACCTATCTCACGTATTCCCATAGTTCAGTAGGCATATCGTAAGTCCTACGTCTCCACATATATCTGTCTCTTATACACATCTAGATGTGTATAAGAGACAGGTCGAGTGTAG